TCGGGGATTCTCCCTATGTTGGGCGAAATAGCGGGAGAACTAAAACCAAGCTTTACCTGTTGGTTTGCGCTAACTTGGCCGGGCGCTGAATGTTCCAGCAACTGGAGTATTTTTTCCAGTTGCTCGTTTACCTGGGTAGCCGAGTTGGCAGCCTGCGCGGCATTTACAAGCTGCGCCGATTGCACATTAATTCTGTTGCCACCTTCGATATTTCCGTTATTGGCAGACTCGCCATCAGCTGTTGCCTCCTGCATAATGTGTACTCCCGGGGTTTGTCTTCTGGTTGTCCTGGCCTGCTTTGCTCCCCTCACCAGCTTGTGGTTGACGGCTGCTCTTCTCTTGGGAGGCATCACGAAAGGTCGAGGTGGTGAGTTGGTATTCCACAAGCGTAAAAATGTCCCGAGGATGAAGTTCGGGAGTAGAACGGAATAAATGCGATACGGCGAGTGCTCGAATAGATGGTATTCAAAGTGTAATCGGCGAAACGGTCGCGACTGGTTACAAAGGAAACGTACAAAGCGAAAGCGATTAGATACAGTCACACGCGTGTGTACTTAAGGAAGGACTGTCTGCGAATGTCGGACTGTAACAAAAGGCGGGATGATGCTTGCGCGGGATTATTCCCCGGGCACGGTGCAGAGTGGTGACCCGGGGGTGATTGAGTTACGAGCGGTGATTGGGTTACGGACGTAATTAGCCAATGGTTTGGATACGCGGGATAAAGTCATTTAGTAGTTAGTACTAAATGTAAATACTCTCGAGAAAGGATAAGCATAAACAGTAACAAATCCTACATGAATCTTACTAATTAAAACTGGCATTACATTGCTCTGATTTAGTCTTGGCGACAGCTTCGAGAAGTTCAAACCCGTGTGTCCCAGTTGCAACATAGTGTATGGCGTCCTGACGGGGAACCAGCCGAAGGGGTCCATGGATGTCACCTTCAGCGGGGAGCACCTGCCTGGGTATGAGACCTGTGGCACCATCAGTATCACATACCATCTGCCTAGTGGCCTACAGAGGGTAAGTGTCATTGCAGTTACTAAAATGCATGGCTTCTATACACATTTATATATACGTGTCAGACTCAAACGTCAAGTTTAAGTTGGTACACGTTGAAGTAATGTGAAATATTTTATTAGTGATGCATTGTTTACAGCCAAATAACAAATTACAAAAGGCAGGAAGAAATTGGATATTTTTATATATTTCTTCATTTCTAACCCTTTTCGCAAACACCTCGTGTCATCACTGAATTTCAGTGATCCATTCGTATATTTTTTCTTTTGTCTTTTCCGCCCAGTTGTGTCTGTTTCGGCAGATAACAGAGACATGTAATTATCTGGCGTAGACGTTACATATACATGTATATATGTGCAGCCTGATGTTTGGGTGTGATGTTATTAAAACTTAAACTATACCACATGGTCTCGCAGGAAGACCACCCGAACCCAGGACAGCCCTACAAGGGAACAACGAGACGAGCTTTCCTGCCAGACTGCCGTGAAGGTAGAGATGTTCTCCGCCTCCTGAGGAAGGCGTTTGACAGGAAGTTAACCTTTACCATCGGTCGTTCTACAACTACCGGTCAAGAGAATGTCGTAACGTGGAACGACATCCACCATAAGACGAACATGGAAGGTGGACCTACGAGGTAAACAGATGGTGTTTCTTTATGCATCGAAATTATTTTATTGGAACTATTTGTTTCGAAGCAATTGAAATACTTCTGTTCAGATCAGTAGCACCAATACAAGTATTCAGCAAGCTGTCATATTCTCAAATACATATTACGAGATACTCGCGAGAGATAGGATAAGCCTAAACAGTAACACATCCTACATGAATCTTACTAATTAAAACTGGCATTACATTGCTCTGATTTAGTCTTGGCGAGTTGTTTATGCGTAACGTCAGTGACATGTTTAGTAACACTGACATTCTGTCCGTAGATTCGGCTACCCCGACCCAGGCTATCTGGAGCGGGTGAAGGACGAGCTTGCCAGCAAGGGCGTGACGGAAAACATAGAGACGACGTTTTAGCGGACTCCGTCGTCTCTGAATGACCTTCAGGTGTCGAGAGAAGCATAGACATCATAGCCACACCACGTATACGGAAGTGCTGTATGTTCCTTGTAATCCACACATGAGCCAGGTTACATGAAAAAACCCTGTTAAGACTATACTGAATGATTTCGACCAGAGATACTTGAACTAGGTGAAGAAGAATGAGTGACATTTTATAAATAATTCACATACCCGATGTACGTACGATTCTATATGATGACATTTATTTGGTACATGGGGGCTACGATGGACCCCCATTCGTACGAGGCGACCAATGGATCGTTGGTCACGCTCGATAACTTAATTGATTCCGTTTAAGCTTACCCCACGGTGTCGGACTTTGTACATTATATCAATCAATGATTTTTCTCGTCCTGATTCCATAATGTACAGGCCTCAAGAAACTTTCTTATGTTCGTCCTTTTAACTGCAAATATTGTTTGAGAATGTCTGTATTTGTGTTCCATGTGTGATAGGAAGGTGTTATATATCCTATTACTATAAAATCGATCTATAAATCGATCTAAAATCGAACCCATTTCTATTCCCAAGGAATAGTTATTGTTCCTATATATAAAAGTGACCAAACCCTCTCAACAACATATGAAATCTCTGCTGTAAGCAGAATCCATTGTGCGATTCCTACGATATCATAACCAAGTTTTTATGAATCACTCTAAAATAGTGATGATACCAGGTGTTAGGTGAAAGACGAGTCTATCCAATGTGAGCGTATCGTGCCCGAATGGGGGAACCCGTCACAAACACATGGGAAGGCACGTCGTTTGATCGCCTGAAAAGACGATGGAACATATAGAAACAACAATCTTCGACTATTTTGGAGGACCCTATGCCTGCGTTATATGGGGGTTGACGGAAGCAGTGCAGAGTGAAGGGACGGAAGAGCTATTATAATCAGATGTCGTTAGGCAATATATTATGTGTATATTTGTATATCCTGTGCACATTCGTTTACAATGTCCTTTGCATGTTTACACAGATTTTTTCTAGGTTGTGTATTCATGGTTGTCAGTGATGTATTTAAGGATTTTGAATATTACGTTGTCAGTCATAAAACATAAAGTAGTTTATTGATGTTATTGAAACGATACGTTTTCTTATTTAACAAATTCACGATTGTCCGTTGTTGCTGGTACCTTAGCGTCACCCTACATGCATCAATTACGTCACCCTACACACTTCAATGTACGTCACCCTAAATACTTCAATGTACGTCACTCTACATGCATCAATGTACGTCACCCTACATGCATCAATGTACGTCACCCTACATGCTTCAATGTACGTCACCCTACATGCTTCAATGTACGTCACCCTACATACTTCAATGTACGTCATCCTACATACAGCAATGTAGGTCACCCTACATACAGCAATGTATGTCGCCCTACATACAGCAATGTAGGTCACCCTACATACAGCAATGTAGGTCACCCTACATACAGCAATGTACGTCGCCCTACATACAGCAATGTAGGTCACCCTACATACAGCAATGTACGTCACTCTACATACTTCAATGTACGTCACCCTACATACAGCAATGTATGTCGCCCTACATACAGCAATGTATGTCGCCCTACATGCTTCAATGTACGTCACCCTACATGCTTCACTGTACGTCACCCTACATGCATCAATGTACGTCACTCTACATACTTCAATGTACGTCACCCTACATACAGCGATGTACGTCACTCTACATACTTCAATGTACGTCACCCTACATACAGCAATGTACGTCACCCTACATACAGCAATGTACGTCACCCTACATACAGCAATGTACGTCGCCCTACATACAGCAATGTAGGTCACCCTACATACAGCAATGTAGGTCACGTTACATACAGCAATGCACGTCATCCCATATGCACTAATGTGCATGACCCTACATCCAATATACGTTGGCATACATTATATTAGCTAACTACTTATATATTCTACGTAATTCACTTTACCCTATCGGCATGGCAATTCCTGATTAGAACATTGGTATGATGTTGTTTGTTGTTTGCTTATGTGAAACTTCGCAGATAAACGCTCACTAATTCTCATTGTCAGTCCCTGTCTTCTCTGATCTCCTCTTCGAGGGGGCACGGTGGTCATTGGAACAGGCATAATTCAACGTGTAGAGTCGCGTCCTTTAATTGCAAGGATGTGTTCTGATCGTCGGTTCGAATCCCACATCCGCCCTGGATAGTATCTTTGGTTTGTGAACATCATATTGTGATCATTCCACCAAAGCCGTAAACGTCTACGATAAGCGCTACTTTGGGCTTATTCCCAAATGAATCCCACACCGTGGTGTAACTATCCAAATCTAAACCACTGACACTTCTTGAAGTATAAGGAAGAGAATATATGGATGTCAACTTCTTTATTATGTGGAACACAACGTTTCGGAGTATATGCTTACTCCTTTATCAGGTGAGTGAATGCCTAATATGTGAATCACTTCAAAATGCCTTTCAAAGACCTTCTTGAAGTATACTACTCAAAAGAATTTTAGGAAAACCCGATTATTTTATATTACCATAATTAATCTGTCATAGATTAACTATAGTTATATGAAAAAATTGGATATTCTTTTACTTTCTTTGATTAGTATATGTCAATTCAGTGTTTTTGTGTTTTCATTATCGACATAATTAAAAAACCTAACGACCCGTGAAGATCCGGGGTAGAATAGGTCTTCAGCGACCCAGTCTTGCCGTAAAAGGAGACTATGCTTGTCGTAAGAGGCGACTAACGGAATCGGGTGGTCAGACTTTCTGACTTGGTTGATGCATGTCATCGTATCCCAATTGCATGGATCGATGCTCATGATGTAAATCACTGGATTGTCTGGTTCAGACTCCATTATATACATACCGCCGACATATAGCTGAATAATTGCTGAGTGCGGCGTTAAACAACAAACAAAATAAAACAAACATACCTGTAACATGTTAATCATCTGATGCTTATCAATCATTGACCTTTCAGTATCGGTTTTTTGGGTCCATAAAACATGATATTGCCCGAATTGTGGTCAATAGTTGTTTTATTACGTAATGTTAAGAGGAAAAATATTTTAATTTGATTTATTTATAACCATCAAAATTCAACCATAATTCAATCACTCCAGATGACAGAGTGAGTGAGTGAGTTAAAATTTTAAATCACATCGGCAATATTTCAGCCATATCGTGACTCCAGATGACAGAGGCAGTGGCAGGAGATACCGCTTCACAACAAGCTTTGCGTTACGAACTGTTTGATTGGCATTCTGGAAGTTAGTGAGGAAATAAGAAAACCTAAACCTTTACGGATTACAACTTCTGGTTTATTGCATTTAGCGACGTTTCGATGTAGATTCTTACACTGTTACATTCTCGCTGATTCCATTGGCCAAACCGCGCAGGACAGTACCACTTCTGATCGCTGCACGGCAAGTAGGATCTCAGGGCAATGCTAAGTTTTTAGGAAAGTACATGTAATGTGACCATTTATCAACCAGTGAAAGTACAGATATAATTTCTAAATGTAATAATTTATTGTATCTATTGAATATATTGAAAACAATGTTACAGAAAATGCACACCCTTGTAGCTTGCGATAATATACCATTATTGATGAGTGAGTGAGTGAGTAAGTGAGTGACTTAGTATGGATTTACACCGCTTTTAGCAATATTCAAGCAACATCACGGCGGGGGACACCAGAAATGGGCTTCACACATTGTACCCATGTCGGGAGTCGAACCCGGGTCTTCGGCGTGACGAGCGAATCACTCCAGGTTAGAATTGGTCCCCTGCAACCGGTCGAAGCCAGTGAATAGTGCGGTGGTAAGCCAAAAGATTTAAGCATCCGATCACTACGAAGACACGGGTTTGATTCTTTGCATGGGTGAAGCACAAATAGGCTTAACCGTATAAAAGTTGATAATTTTACGTAACTATAGGATATTTTGCTACACAATGCACTTCTGAACAATGGTTTAAGGCACAGAATATAGGATACAAACAAAGACAGTTCTTCAAATATGCAGAGTTAGAGTTGTGTTTCACCGACCGTTGTTACGTCCAATCACTGCTAAACACAATATCCCCTTTCACTAGCTACAATTGTGCCTCATTACTGGTTGCCTATATCCGCGGTTATACTGCTTAGATCGGTGAAGCCTCACTCAGTCACTACAGATAGTCCATATAAGTTTTGATTGGAGCTTCGGGGGGCGGGTCTCTGTCCCTCTTGTAAGGAATCTCCGTATGGTCCCGCTCCCATATCTCCAGCAGTAGAGAACTGAGACGCTGATTGGCTGCCACCTGGTCCGTGCACCTCAGTTTCTGTATGTTCTGCTCTGTAATCAATGGCATCCTCGCTACATAGATCAGCAGTTTGGTCTCATCCCATGACAGTTGACTCTGAGCTAGAACCCAGTCAACGATGGCTATCAGCAGCACAAACTCACTTGATACTATAAGTCCTTTGTGAAGGACGACATCATACAGCTGACGGAAACTCATGCCATTCAGTTCCCCTTTCTTCCATATATACTCAAAATGACGAAGGATAAAGTGATATACATCCATCTTGATGGTCGAGACTTTATTTTTGATAGCTAGATCATGCAAAGTCAAATAATTATGCGCCCCTATGAGATCACAATGCCTGAACTCCTCTTCAATAGCCAGCTTGAAGTCATCCATTTGAAGTACTGTTGCTGTGTTTATGAGGAAGACGATGTTGTCTTCATGTAGCGGCGGTAGAACACCTGTGTACATGAAATTGAGGATATTCCTGAAGGCATCGACATCAACATCCTCCAACGTCATTTCACCATCCCCAGCTGACAATCGCTGTACCATATAAGGTGACATGGACTTGACAATGACCTTGTGACACGGGAATGATACATCACCAACGACCACTGTCAGATCCGAGTATGACCCTCCATCCAGGGACTTCTTTAAACCCGCCATGAATAGGGATTTGTGTGAAATTTCCATTTCTGAAAGAAATAAAATAATTGTTTTTACAACATATTTGTTTTATCGAACAAATATACTCATTTTATCCTCATGCAAAGATATTCTGGAACCATTTTTTTCAAATATATCCGTGGTCCTCACCAGAAAATCAGTATATCCCAGGTCCTCTCCAGCGTATCAAAATATCCCAGGCCCTCTCCAGCAAATCAAATATATCTCCAGCATATCAAAAGTGATAATTTATGTAATGGGGTGAAAAGGTGTAATAAAATGCGAAAATAATGTTTCACGAAATTACCTGAATAAAACTAAATAAAGGCTGAAAAAATTGTTCGTGGGTCAGCGTGGGAGTACATGAAATATCCAGGACCTGTATATTAGTAAACCTTGACTGACTATTCATGTCAGTGACTAGGTGGAGTTGTGATGGTTGTTCTAAAAGGAACATGGAACTTGCGTGCATATTGTGTTTATTTTGATTGAATGACATTGAAGAGATGAATAGGTGTGAAACAAATACAAACATATTTGGTTTAGTTTTGTCCTCTGGCAAATTCATGCTCACCCTCATAACCTATAATGTTACTATATTAGCATAAGACCAGTGTACCTCAAGTGGGTGTCAGCTCTACAGCTATGTTAAGTCTATATTACAGAAAACATTGAAGCACACTTCGTCGTGGAACAAATGCGTGTAACACTGATGTGAGAGCAGTTATGCTCCTCCCAACTCTAGTCTATCAATCCGTATTACCTGTACAACACTTACAGTGAAGCGTATGTCCTACAGGAAAGTTACCTACCCATGCTGAGGTCAAGCTGTCATATATCTCAACTTCTACACCTGCACCTCTTCGGACCGTCCTCACCGAGTTGATATCCTGCTCAGAGAAATACTGTATATAACGAGGTTAAACCTCTATTCCCTATCTGTGTCACCTTATATCATCAGACACAGTGTCACCAGGCTCAGATGAAACTGACCTACATTTCCTGCCATGACTTGCCCAACATACTTCGATCTAATGTGACGTTGCGTTACGGGCCAGCTGTACGTGGTTGTCATTGGGTTTAGGGATCGTGTCATCTTATCCACAGCGAACTCTGAGGTACACGTAAAGGTGAAGTTTATAAGGTGTCTCTATCAGAAGGCATTGAGAGACGCAAAACAATCAAGTCAACATAATTATTCATGGAAAAAACCTCTGCTCACACCTGTCTCATGGTTGTTTGTTTGTTTGTTTGTTGTTTAACGCAGCACCCGGCAATGTTCCATCTATATGGAGGCGGTCTGTAAATAATCGAGCCTGGACCATACAATCAAGTGATTGACATCAAGAGCGTCGATCAACTCAATCGGGATATGAAGAAATGCATCAACCAAGTCAGCGAACCTGACCACCCGTTCCGTTTGTCGCCTCTTACGACAAGCATAGTCGCCTTTTACGGCAAGCATGGGTTGCTGAAGACATTTTCTACCTCGAATCTTCACGGGTCTGTCTCTATTATATATTGCATGGCATGACCATCCGTAATATGATGAATATATAATGTCAACGACAATGTATAACCAGTCTCGATTATCCGCTGAAGCCGATTCCATTGGGCGAAAAAGAAAAAAAGCGGTGAAAGTTACATGAATGGATCACTGAAAACAGTGATGACACCAGGTTTTCGCGAAAAAGGGTAATCATGTCCCCGCCTACCGGTTGCACCCGCCCAGTGTACAATATGCATTATATTGTAATTGTCTTGCTTAACGCCGCACAGGAGTACTCCTGCCATGCGACGGCGTCCTACAAACATACCAGACAATCAAGTGATGGTCCCAAAAGTTCAGTGACACGAAAGTCCTTTTACTAAATCCATATATCAAGAATTACACAATGTCACCAGTCACGTGTTTGGGTGTGTGAGGTGTGTCAACATATGCACATACCCAACACTACAGGCCATGTAAATGAGGTGAATCTCTGAGGCAAGGTGAAATGTATGACGTTTCTTTCTTGGAACTAGTGAAACTTCTTATATACTACTCAACTTTTGATAGGGATATTGTTTTTTATTCACCCCCTCTTATTATGTCATTACACATGCCATGTAAATGTAGTAGTATGATATACCTCAGTATCCATATTGTGAAGCCAACAAACACCCAACAAATGGTATACAATTAACAATTGTATTATAATATTAACTAGGTTTACAAATCAAAACAATTACTATTCATAATTTACAATGGCAGTACATAATATAATGGCAGTTTAAAATATCAGAGCAATGGTTACAGTAAAAGTCAGTGATAATAATATTCACCTGGCAGCAACAGTGGTCAAGCTTCCAAAATAAGCCTAGGCTGGATATCCAGGGTGAAATGTTTTCTTTACACAAAATGTTATGATGTCATCTACACATATTAGAATGTAACGCCAATCCTTTTCTTTTAGTGCCTCCGAAATGGTTTCCTGAAATGTGCATTTTTGAGACCGACAGAAGCGGACGGATTGTACAGTTAGTCGTGGTGTCAGGCAAGGCCACCGCCTCAGCAATGACTCCATCGACCATGAAGAATCGCTGTCTGACTTCCTACCTGTGTAAGGGGCATAGCGGGTCTGTGAACCGGGAACACCGGCCACTTGGTCCCGGTGTGTGTTCAGTCATGTGATTACTATCAATATGTACCTTTTCGGACGTTATTCCCAATCAACAATAAACATGGCTACTGTCTCCTTAAACTTCACCCCTGAGTTTTGTCTTCCGTCGTTCACCCTGGACCGTGAAGTACCAACCGAGGGCACAACATGGACGCCCTTGAAACGTTGTCATGCTTTGCTTTTTGATGTATCATACCAATGGCTTGCTCTTTTAATTGTACAATTGATCTTAGCATGTTATTTGTCTCTGTCCAACGGTTTGGATGTAAACGAACAGTACATCATTTCTTTTTTACCCATAACTTTGTAGGTTGGCATTCTGCAAGTCATCAAATGTTTCACTTCAAACTCAAGTTCCACTGATCTGGGTATTGTTGCAGGCTAATTGATTCTGGTATCGTATCTTTCGTTTGTCAGTTTACATCGAAATGCTATTTATTTCAATCATCCACGATTGAAAAGTACATTCCTCCAGTTGTTGTGAGTACATACATGTTAAGTTGACCAATTTTCTGTCAAGTTGTTGTAAAAATGGTCTTTTATTACATGAAAATGCTTTATTATACTGCTATTCCATTGTTCTGTTTTAAAATCACCTTCATCTATACAGTTATTATGTTTTAGTGAAGAGTGAGAAAAAGTTTAATATTCTTTCCCCAGGTTGAATTTGAAATGTGTTGTAAAAAACAAATCTCAGCTCAATTTTAAGAAGAAAAGAAATATCTCAATGACGAAAAAAACATGATTCTACCAAAAAAAACCCGACCCCAGCTAAATATCAAATGGTCCTCCCCTACAAGAAACAGATTTGAATTATATCTCTTTATTATATGAGTTCTTTTGTTCAGAACTACTTTCAAACGTTAGACCAGGGGGATACAGCATTTGGTCACTCTGAGAGTAACCTTAAGTGTAAATAGGCTTCATAACTAGTTGTTCTGGGGAGGTTCATAAGCACGGCCTCTCGTGGCACACCTAACTACAGATAGTCCTTGAAAGTTTTGATATTCGGCGACTTGTCCCTGTTGATGACCTTGATTTTCTTTTCAATATCTGTCTGAAGATTGTCCATTTGCAGCACGGTTGCTGCTTGTAGGGCGGCAGCGATGTTGTCTTCACACAGCGGCGGTAGAACACTAGTGTACATAAAGTTGAGGATATCTCTGAAGGCATTGTCATCTACATTCTCCAACGTCATTTCACCATCCCCAGCTGACAAATGCTTCTCCATATATGGTGACATAAACTTGACAATGATCTTGTGACACGGGAATGATGCATCGCCAACGATCACAGTGAGATCAGAGTGTGATCGTTTGTCCAGTTCCAAATCTGAAAATAAAGAACAATGTGTAGTCAAACTTGCTGTTATAATAACCGGGTATCGGACACAGGGCTCAAAATTAAAAAAACCACACCCACTGTGCCGTTATTAAAGTACAATTCATAAGGCACAAAAGTAGGAAATCTTTGATGACCTGATGACATTTCGAATAGTGAGTGAGTGAGTTGGGTTTAACGCTGCTTTTAACAGTATTCCAGTTATATCGCGGAGTGTCAGCTTAATGTGGGAGGAAAGCCCGAAGTGATGGAAGTCTTAGGCGTTTACCACTTCGGTGAAACCCACGAGCACTGGTATGGTGCTGACAAACCTAGAAACATAATAGGGGCGAACCGGGATTCGAACCCACAATCATAGGTTTCTGGCGTGCCCAAAGGACGCAACTCTGCACAGCGAATCGCGGCGCCTTAGACGACTGGGCAAACCCATGCCCCCCATTTCTAATATGGCAGTCGTACCATCGTTCTATATCTAGAACAGCTGTACATATTGAAGGAATTTAGGTTACCTTAATGTTATACACATGACATAGGACAGTGATCTGAGTGAAATAAAGAATGTTTGACCCTACCTGAATAGGGGTGTCTAGATGTCTCTTTTGCCCTTTGTACCCTTTTCTCAACTTCAGAGGATTTGTCGATGATTGAGGTTTTGATGACACCAAGACGACCATCATATATTGCAGGAACGTCTTCAAATAGATGGAGAGCCATCTCCTCCAAATCCACGGTGTAAATGTGGGTTTTAGATTCAACTGTCTTCAGAATCATTAACTCGTTTCCCTTCCCACTAAGAGAGCAGCCACTGGCACCGTCAAGCTGATGAAATCGTGTAATACCCTTTGGGGAATTGGCATCATTCATCACTCCGAATTCTGATTCTGTCGTCAAATAATACATCTTGTCGTCCTTGGAAGCTATGGATACAGAAAACTTTCCCTGGGATAGTGGAGGCTGAAATCTTCCCAGACATGAAACTGCATCAGCTCCAAATGCATTAAGGATGAAAACCTTTTCCCTAACCTGTGATGGGGAGTGAGCGGTGAGATCTTCTCCAACTAAATAGATCGTGTCCCCCACAGCAGCTGCCGAACAGTTTGCCATTTCTCCTTCAATGGCACCAACCAGTTCCCACGCAACCTCCTCATCTCCTTTATACCTTAGTAGCTGCACACCATCACCTACACCAAACACATACAGCTTATGCTGCACACTCAGTATCTGGATGACGTGGATTGGCGGTAGGCTCATATTATCCCACAACCATGTCTGTTCATTGAGCCTATAGACACTGCTAAGGCTGGTGAACATCAGATCACCTTTGAACGCGAAGGCTCTTGGTATTCCAGCGACATTGTGTATACCTGGAAGTGCTGGGACATCGTACGTCTTGTGATCCTCCAAAGAGTATATCTTTAGTGCTTTTTTGCCATGGATTTCCAAATATCCAAATAGGATATTCCGAGGCTTGTCGTTGTGTCTCACAACCAGTTTTCTCAACACATGCTGTTCTTTCTTTACATCTTCCACAATATCGCGTGCCTTCTCTCCGAGAGTTTGGAGTAAAGGGAATATTGTGGATTTGAATGTAGCATCAGAAATCTGGTTAATTGATACGTGAGAGAGCAATTGGGTTAGATCTGTATCTGAGAAACGTTCTTGAGATTTTGTCCACAGGAGAACAGCCTTCAAAACATCTGCCTCATGAGTCACTCTCAGCTCATCACTGGCAACAATCTCACACAGCTCGACCGCGGTCAGACTTGTAAACAGAGCCGTTTCTGATATTGTCTTGAAGTTTGTAAACATGAAACTATTTGTCATTTCGAGCAATATATCCAGGTTATACTTCCGTGCAGCGCGCCACTGTTTCACCCACGATTGACTCATCCTATACATATCTATAAGAAACTTTTCACAGCGCTTATTTAGGGATTCTATTTGAAACATGGAACTTGCTTGCAACACATCAAGCACATTGGATGCTTTCAAGGCTGCGTTATTACGGTATATGTGCTCCAACACATTCCTGAAGGTGTCCGGGCTCATGCCCTGTACTTCCATGACCTTCTCGTCGGTGCCCTTGAAACCCGAGGCAAACTTGGCATCAAAATAAGGTGACGTCATTGCCAGGATGACCTTGTGGCAATGGAACACATCGGCGTCTACCTTGATTGTGACGTCACAGTCTTTATTCTGTCTTAACGCCTTCCAAAGTTGTTCACGTAACTTGTCATATACCCTTTTCGTGAACGCTTGTTTATAGGCCATGGTGATGGTTTGTCTTGAAAGAAAAACATTTACTTAAAACTATGATTATGTAATGGATCTGCATGATATGCGCGTCGCGGGGTCAAATGTACTTGCAGTTCTTACTTACAATTCCTTAGACATATGTTGTAATTATGTTCTGAATAAAGTGATTATGTGCTATTCCCCAACATTATACTTCTTAAAGTGAAACTAACTCAAAGAATAAATCACCTGATCCAAGTGTTTATTAAAATATTGTGGGGGTAAGTTTAATTAACTAATGAATTATTAATCTGTCAACTGCTCGGGTTGGCAGTACTTTTCCTTATTTAAACAATAAACGACGAGTGGGAGTATATCGTACAATAAACCACTGCAGGGAGAATAAACCAAGAGGGTGCAGACCCTAGTGGTTTATTGTCCCTGTTGTGATTTATTGTTCAATAAACAACGACCACGAGTCGAATATTTCTAATATGGGATATCAATATCATGCACAGCCTCCTTAAGGCTGTTTCTAAAAAAATAAGCTTTAAAGAATATTTACCCGTATTTAAATAATGATGACTCCCTGAATAGAATCCGACCTCCATTTTATGGTTGGTTGGTTAAAATATTTCTAATATTCAGGCGACATTAAAGCCTTCCCCTCTGGAATATACATTATGCTTTAAACCCCCATCACACCAAACTAGTGAACATGTTGTCGAACGGGCTCCAACTGTGTATGGACGTGGTGGACGTAGTAGCAACTATTGACAGTCTTTTTACGAACTTCATGAACGGGCTCGGACGGGGAGGGTGCTCCAGAAGTTTAAGTCTGCTCAAAATTTTATCCCGTCCATCCCGTTCTGCAATTATTCGGATTGAAAACGTACTCAAAACGAGAAAGACGTATTACGAACGTAATTGCCGTACTTCGAACGGAGTTGCCGTACTTCGAACCTACTAGGGACGTGTTACGACGCGGTGCGGTCGGACATAAATTTCAGTACGTGTGCACACCGACCGGGTCGACTTCTCTTTGGAGGCATGATGTGTACAGCTCGGAGCCCTGAACTTGAATGAAGACTGACTACAACGCGCTCGGTATCGGGCCAGGACGGGCCAGGACGCGAATACACACGCACTTGGGACGTACTGCGAACGAGTTGGTCTGGTTAAGAATTAGTTAGAACTGGCTTGGACGTATTGTGAACGAGGTAGAACGAGATTGAACTGGTTAAGAACGGGTTGAGAACGGCTACGGACGTGCTCGAACTGCTTGGAAACGTCGGGATGAGGTGAACGGGCACTTTTACACGATCTGAACTGGATACAAACGGACTGCAGACTGGCTAAGAACGAGATAAGAACGAGATAGACGTATTGAGGACTGCTTATGAACGAACTAGCATCGTATTTTAGCGAAACTACGCTATCTACCGTGATCACAGCCCGTTCTAGGATTTTGTCCAGAACGGGGTAGAACGGGATAGAACTACTTTGGTGTGATGGTAGCATGATTAAGATGTTGTTTTAAGGAAAATCTTGGGATAAAACCATGTTCTTTCTTGTACAGTAAATGGACTGTTTAACTGCCGATACTCGATGGACAGGGAGCCGGTAACGACTCATCCAGTTCAGCACTGATATTCAGTCAATTAGTAGCAGCATCAGAAATGCAGTAAGAACAGCTGTAAAACGGACGAGTCGTGGTTCTGTTAACGAGCACTCAGTTGCAAAGGCATATGTAGAAGTGACACAAATCTATAGATATTTTTGTATAACTCTTAAGATTATTATTTATGCCAACACTGTACGTTACATCAGTACCAGGACCATGCCCCGCTAGCCAATGCTCCATGCCCCGCAAGCCCCTGCTCCATGCCCCGCTAGCCAATGTTCCATACCCCGCTAGGTCATGCTCCATACCCCGCTAGCTCATGCTCCATGCCCCTCAAGCCGATGCTCCATGCCCCGCAAGCCCCTGCTCAATACCCCGCTAGCCAATGTTCCATACCCCGCTAGGTCATGCTCCATACCCCGCTAGCTCATGCTCCATGCCCCTCAAGCCGATGCTCCATGCCCCGCAAGCCCCTGCTCAATACCCCGCTAGCCCCTGCTCCATGCCCCAAAAGCCCATGTTCCATGCCCCGCTAGCCCCTGCTCCATGCCCCATAAGCCCATGTTCCATGCCCCGCTAGCCCCTGCTCCATGCCCAGCAAGCCCCTGCTCCATGCCCGGTAAGCCCCTGCTCCATGCCCCGCTAGCCCCTGCTCCATGCCCCACAAGCCCATGCTCCATGCCGCGCTAGCACCTGCGCCATGCCCCGCTAGCCCTTTGTTCCATGCCCCGCTAGCCCCTGCTCCATGCCCCGCTTGCCCATGTTCAATGCCCCGCTAGGTCATGCTCCATGCCCCACAAGGCCATGCTCCATACCCCGTTAGCCCCTGCTCCATGCCCCGCTAGCCCATGTTCGATGCCCCGCTAGCCCCTGCTCCATGCCCAGCAAGCCCCTGCTCCATGCCCGGTAAGCCCCTGCTCCATGCCCCGCTAGCCCATGTTCCATGCCTCGCTAGCCCCTGCTCCATGCCCCACAAGCCCATGTTCCATGCCCCGCTAGCCCCTGCTCCATGCCCCACAAGCCCATGTTCCATGCCCCGCTAGCCCCTGCTCCATGCCCAGCAAGCCCCTGCTCCATGCCCGGTAAGCCCCTGCTCCATGCCCCGCTAGCCCCTGCTCCATGCCCCACAAGCCCATGCTCCATGCCGCGCTAGCCCCTGCGCCATGCCCCGCTAGCCCTTTGTTCCATGCCCCGCTAGTCCCTGCTCCATGCCCCGCTTGCCCATGTTCAATGCCCCGCTAGGTCATGCTCCATGCCCCACAAGGCCATGCTCCATACCCCGTTAGCCCCTGCTCCATGCCCCGCTAGCCCATGTTCGATGCCCCGCTAGCCCCTGCTCCATGCCCAGCAAGCCCCTGCTCCATGCCCGGTAAGCCCCTGCTCCATGCCCCGCTAGCCCATGTTCCATGCCTCGCTAGCCCCTGCTCCATGCCCCACAAGCCCATGTTCCATGCCCCGCTAGCCCCTGCTCCATGCCCCACAAGCCCATGTTCCATGCCCCGCTAGCCCCTGCTCCATGCCCAGCAAGCCCCTGCTCCATGCCCGGTAAGCCCCTGCTCCATGCCCCGCTAGCCCCTGCTCCATGCCCCACAAGCCCATGCTCCATGCCGCGCTAGCCCCTGCGCCATGCCCCGCTAGCCCTTTGTTCCATGCCCCGCTAGTCCCTGCTCCATGCCCCGCTTGCCCATGTTCAATGCCCCGCTAGGTCATGCTCCATGCCCCACAAGGCCATGCTCCATACCCCGCTAGCCCCTGCTCCATGCCCCGCTAGCCCATGTTCGATGCCCCGCTAGCCCCTGCTCCATGCCCAGCTAGCCCATGTTCCATGCCCCACAAGCCCCTGCTCCATGCCCCACAAGCCCATGGTCCATGCCCCACAAGCCCCTGCTCCATGCCCCACAAGGCCATGCTCCATACCCCGCCCATGCTAGCCCATGCTAGCCCCATAAATAATGTCGCGGATCAAACATTGCTTTTTATGTACGTTTGTCATGTCAGAATTGATGTTATTCAAAATGTCATCATTTTGTAACAAGTTTGTTTTTTTAGTGTATTTGTTGTTTAACTCTGTACATAGCAATATTCCGGCTATATGACGGCGGTTTGTAAATAATCGAGTCTAGACAAGACAGTGCAGTGATTGACATCATGAGCATCGATCTCCGCAATTGGTATACGATGACATGCATCAACCATGTCAGCGAGCCTGACCACCCGATCCCGTTAGTCGCCATTAACGACAAGCCCGGGTTGCTGAAGACTATTAAAACCCAGATCTTCACGCGACAGATCTGCAGGTATACCCATGATGACGCTACTACGATACATACAGTCATTTGCATATCCTACAACAAAGATGACCTACCTAGATTTATGGTGAACGTGCTGCACACGTAACCGAGGTCTGTGAGATGGACTTTTACAGATTGACAATCCCTATCAGTTCTGAAATGATGTCCCAGAGTATCACTAGTTGTGATCTATGATTGAGACAAACAGACTCTCCGTCACCATTGGATGACCTCCAGTAACATGCCGAGATATAACGTACAGACTGATCAAAGCGACGTTAACCCCAACACCTCCCACTATTGCGACATCTATTGTCACCTAACACCAGAAGGTACAGTCCATCCAGTCACAGATGTATCTGACCTACATTTATTGCCGAGGCTTTTACCCCGATTGTTTTTCAGCCACTATATGGTTGGTCAGTTGTACAAAGTAGTGACACGGTATAGGGGTGTGTCTTCCTTTTCATTGTGAGCTCGGAGGTAAAGGTGAATGGATATCATATCACTAGCCACGTACCACGACACAATCATGTAAACGATGACAGTTGTTTTATTATCGTCTGATAGCGTCTGACTTTAGGTACTTGGGGCGCGTCAGCAAACAACATATCAACATGCACTGATTTGTAGGGCGCACATGAATACAACACTCAGTTTCAAAACATGAACGAGTTTCTCACCTCCATCTCAGGCCATCCGTCAAACAAACCTCCTCATCACTTTCACATGACATTCCCATCACTATCACATGACATTCTCATCACCATCACATGACATTCTCATCACCATCACATGACATTCCCATCACTATCACATGACATTCCCATCACTATCACATGACATTCCCATCACTATCACATGACATTCTCATCACCATCACATGACATTCTCATCACCATCACATGACATTCCCATCACTATCACATGGCATTCCCATCACCATCACATGACATCCCCATCACTATCACATGACATTCCCATCACATCACAAGACATTCCCATCACTATCACATGGCATTCCCATCACCATCACATGACATCCCCATCACCATCACATGACATCCCCATCACTATCACATGACATTCTCATCACCATCACATGACATTCTCATCACCATCAGATGGCATTCCCATCACTATCACATGACATTCCCATCACTATCACATGACATTCTCATCACCATCACATGGCATTCCAAACCATCACATGACATCCCCATCACTATCACATGACATTCCCATCACATCACAAGACATTCCCATCACCATCACATGGCATTCCCATCACCATCACATGACATTCCCATCACTATCACATGACATTCCCATCACTATCACATGACATTCTCATCACCATCACATGACATTCTCATCACCATCACATGACATTCCCATCACTATTACATGACATTCTCATCACTAACACGTTACATTTCCCATCACTATCACATGACATTCCCATCACCATCACATGACTTTCCAATCACTATCACGTGACATTCCAATCACAATCACATGACATTCCCATCACTATCACATGACATTCCCATCACCGTCACATTACACTGAGAGCGGAAGGTCGGGGGTTCGATCCTCGGGTGAGTCATATCAAAAGGCGTTTTAAGATGGCACTTGTTGTTTCCCTGCCTCTCGGAACTAGGGGATAAGACAAGGACTTGTTAGCTCTGAGTCATTTTACTGTGTCTGCGTAGGGTATCCACTATTAACTGCGGCATGGTATCTCAGTGGGCTGGATCTAATGAACCAACATTAGTTCGAACTACTACAAGCTCAGGTTGGCACACACATCGCTACATAGTGCAATACTATTGAACCTCATTTTCCCCCACCTCACCATTTACGAGGGGCAGATGATCCGTAGATCCGAGTTTCCAGTAGATTACTATATTATTAATAATTGACATCTGTTACAAGGTAATTCCCAAATTGAAACGCCAGGGGGAGGGTTTAAATTGTGATGGAGGAGCTAAGGGCAACATGTGTATTCCAGTACACTGTTAAGAAATGTGTTTAAATCCTACCCACAAACATAAACGCATATCTCATAATGTTGACGGCTTCTGTTTCCTCGATGATAGAAATATTATTAGTCACACATCAATAACACATTTATGAACACAACACTTTTAAATCCACTGCATTTTTCACAGCGTAATACAAAGACCCAAATGGATCGGATAGTCAGGCTAAGCGACTTTGTTGATTGCGAGTCAAGGTACAAAGACGTAGTGGTTCGTCTCTCGCAATATCGCGGTCCAGACTCGATTATATCCAGGCTGCCGTCATATTGGTGATTGCGGCGTTAAACAAACAAATAAAACAAACAAACAAACAAACAAGGCTTAATGATATGTAGAGAAGTTGATTTCACGTTCAGTAAGAGCAGATAATCCTTATTATCATTGGATAAGGCACAAAAATTAGCTGTGCAGAGTTGCGTCCCTTGGGCACGACAGAAACCTATGATTGTGGGTTCGAATCCAAGGTTCGCCCTGATTTTGTTTCTAGGTTTGTCAGCACCATATCCGTGCTCGTGGGTTTCACATAAGAGGTAAACGTCTAAGACCCGTTCCACGTCAGGCTATGTCCCACATTAAGCTGAGGAGCATTGATAGAAATGAAATACTGTTCAAAGCGGCGTTACTCCAAACTCACTCACTTACCCTCTTGTAATTCAGTAACGTTTGATTTCGAGAACATCCGGGGTCGAATAGGACTTCAGCAATCCATGCTTGTCGTAAAAGTGAGTGAGTGAGTGCGTGAGTGAGTGAGTGAGTGACTGAGTGCCTCAGAAATAAAGCGGCAGAACCATTTCCACAATCATACGAAATCTACGCTTAAATCAGAATTGTTCAATAAACTATTATGATTACTTATGATTTTAGAAAAGGTTTACGTCACATTTCTTCTCTTGAATTGTCGACAACCCAGGGAGTATATAGTTCAGACGTATAGACTCCCTGTTAAACCCATGTTCCGCTTACACACCTGTAACCTACATGAAGTCCACGGCGCAATCTCTGACCACTAAATATATAATCCGGATTGGTCTTGGTCCTCAGCAACCCATCCATGGTGTAAGTGACAAACGGGATCGAATGGTCGCTGATTTTGTTGATGGATGTCATGGCTCATAGCGACAATCATTGGATTGTCGATTATTTACAGACCACCGTCATATAGCTGGAGTATTTCAGACAGCGGCGTTAAACAAATATACAATCAATGCATCAATCAATACTTACAAGTTTCAACAAATGTATCATGCATTCCCCCCTGCTACAGCTAAGCTACATATACCCTACAGCTAAGCTACAGCTAAGCTACAGCTAAGCCGACTCATACATTATGCAAGATAAGCTATAACACATGCATGATCAGATTGATAAATCTAGTGTTATTCATCTTCCAGATTAATGCTTTAGCAATCAGATACGTTAATTACAATTACATACATGGGGCTCCACTGGCTACTTATATGCATGCAATACGACCTTACCTCAGCTACACCTCATACAATACCCGGACAGAATTAGGATATAAACCAACAGTGATGTACGGTTACATTTAATAAAATGTTAATTACCATTAGAACAGTCTGTAGTCGTGATATCATAACATGAACATTCGTGCTAGAATCCGTTATATGCCACAAGGACCTGATATATGGGCAACAATGTTTGAATGGCCCCCTTTCAAAATCTGTAAGTAAACAAGTCATATATCACTGATACAATCAAATATTACCCAGGCGTATACATGTATGTTTACATCAAAATGTTTGTTTTGCATTTTATTATTTTCAAGGCAAATAAATGTGACATACGAACATTCATTCTCATCAATAAACGATCATATGAAACTATTTTATTATTTTGATAGCAATGGTTATTAAATCAGCATTGCGTTAATGCTTTGCGAAGTCTGACCTGACAGCTAAATAGATATATGACATGGGTATAGAATATTCGATATACGACACGGGCATAGAAAACAAACGTGAATACTCTCCTTTAATATCCGAGGATAGGAACGCATGTTTTTGATGGTTGTACCTCCACCGCGAGGAACGATTGAATTGCTTCCATGGTTGTGCGGGCTTTCATTCAAAGGGCGTTAGTAGCCGGATTGTGAGTGTTAGGCTATGACGGTTAGCAGAACAGTGAGAGCTATAGAAAACCTATAATAAAAGCAAATCTCCTCGAATATACACGTCAACATTCTGAACGAGACACTTTGTACCTTTATTAATGATCATTCAACCATAACATTTCTTTCCATGTTTACACAGACACACTGGTAGAACTCTGCCACCAGGACTTAAAGGTTTCGCCAGACACTGAAATGAAGTTACCTGAAGAATAATTCTTACGGATAAATATGCGGACAGTTGGATTTAGGATTGTTTTGGGAAGAATTTGACGAGACCAGCATGGATCTGTATGTGACTTTGTGCCTGTGTTTATTGTCCAGTGTCTGTCTAGGGCAGGTAAGTTGGAAACATGGAAAAAATCCACCGCTTACCGATTATGATAAGCTTCTATATATTACGCATAACTATCCCTCTCTAAGTCTTTTGCTGAAAGCTATCTCTCGTTCAGTAAACGCATCTATACCTCGAAAATATCCCTCAGTAATTACATAGCCTCTTTGTTCTGTCTCTCTACGATGCACCCTTCAAAGACCCTGTTAATCCGGAATGTTCGTACGATTGCTCTCGGGGACATCAGTCGTGTTTTTAGTCCATACTCACGATTCGTTAACCCTGACATCTGTCAAGCTGTCTGTCTGTCTATATGTGGTATGATTACTCTTTATATAAGAAACCATTAATTCCCATTGTTACAATTACAATTTATCCAGTGATAAATCTTGTGAGTGAGTGAGTGAGTGGGTGAGTAGGTGAGTGAATGAGTGAGTGAGTGAGTGGGTGGGTGGGTGGGTGGGTGAGTGAGTGAGTGAGTGAGTGAGTGGGTGGGTGAGTGGGTGAGTGAGTGAGTGGGTGGGTGGGTGGGTGAGTGAGTGAGTGAGTGAGTGAGTGAGTGAGTGAGTGGTGGAGTGAGTGAGTGAGTGAGTGAGTGAGTGTAGCATTATTCCGACCTAACACGTAAAAGGACACCAGATATCAAACCCGGGCCTTTCGGCTTGGCAAGCAAACGCTTTTAACCATTAGACTACTCTTCCGACCCTTATTCTACGAAGACGCACAAGAATGTTCTAGATCTAATCGATTAGAATTAACACAGTTAACAAATACTGTGAGTTATAAAATGGAACCAAGCTATGAATAATCGTGTATTGAAAACGAATGTTCATCAGCAAAGACATCACTTGCTTCGTCTAGGTACAGATTCAAAACCCGACCGGTTCGGCAACCCTGAACGAGTTACAGCCAACAGACCGGTGTGTCTACCAGCTAAATGTCACCCCTGACCCCCACACGTGCTCACAGAACATCACAACATTCGCAATGTTTGCCGTCCAACAGAGAACCGGGGACCCAGGTGAGTTCTTCAGATTCCCTCCTGATTATGAACCCTTCTCTGTCAGCACCATACCCGTGCTCGTGGGGTTTCACGAAAAATGGTTACCGTCTATGATATAACACATCATGTCGTAATACACACTTTTATACTACGTTTATAACGAACATGTTTATAACGAACAATGGATATAACGAACTAAAATTAGTGGTCCCTCGTTATAACCGTATTGTACTGATCTGAAGAAGAAGGGTTCATGCATAAATATAAAACGTGGACGTCAGAAAATAATCAATACTAGTCTCGATTATCTGTCGAAACAGGTTCCGTTTGGATTGAAAGGCAAAAACAGTCGTGAAATTTATATGAATGGATCATTGAAAATCACCAGGTTAAGGATACAGCAGAGATCATATAAACTACCGGGCAAAAGAAAGTTTTCACCCACTTCACCAAACACCAAAAACAAAGGCATTTTTGAGATTTATGATGATTAATTTATAAAAAGAAATGATTTTCCATGAATAAGAATGAAAATACACAAAGAAAGAGTCAAGGGGTCCAAATTAAAAATTACACAAATCAGAGTTCATTGAAAAAGTGCATGAAGAGTCCATTAGTGACACAGTAGTCAGGTAACATGTCATCAATAGCGAGTGTGACCACCCTGGGCATCCATGCACGCCAACACACGCCTCCTCATTGACGTCGTCAGTCGGCGGATAACGTCAACAGGAATCCTGTTCCATAAGTCTGTTCAAGTTCCTGTCGGTTCGCTGGAGGCGGTACATGTTGTCTCAGCTGACGATTAAGATGATCCCAGAGATGTTAAATGGGGTTCATGTCTGGAGAACAAGGTGGCCAGGGCAATACGTTGAATTTAACGTTGTTCAGGTAGTCTTGAACAATTCGGGCGGTGTGAGGCCTTGCGTTGTCTTGTTGCAAAATTAATCCTCTTGGCTGATGTTGAATAAAGGGCACCACAACAGGTCTCAACACTTCATCCCTGTACCGCTGAGCATTCAGGTTTCCTCGGATGATAACCAGCCGTGTTGTAATCTGGCCACGAATGCCACCCCATACCAGGACGCCTCCACCTCCAAACGGCTGAACTTCTCTAATGCAGTTTGGCGCCAGTCGCTCTCCCCTTCGTCGAAAAACTCGAACTCCGCCATCGTTCCCGAACAGACAGAACCGACTTTCATCTGTAAGGAGCACTCTCGCCCAGTCACGTCGATGCCACCGACGTACAGTTCGTGCTCATTGCAGTCTGCGTTGACGGTGTAGACGGGTCAAGGCCATTCCACGGAAGGGTCGTTAGGCTCGTATACCAGCCGTACGAAGTCGTCGAAGGACTGTTCGTCTGCTGATGGCATGCCCTAGTGCTGTTGCCGCTGTTGAAGTCGCCGTCACACATCTGTTTCGGAGGTGAATCTGCCGGATGTAGCGGTCTTCGGCCGGTGTTGTCACTCTCGGTCTTCCTGATCTTGGCCGATCTTTTATTAACTTGCTGATGGTGGTCTGGGAGCAGTTGAAGGTTCTGGCTATCTGACGTTGAGTAGCCCCAATATTGGCAATACCGATCGCTCTGTCTCGTTGCGCTTGTGTAGGTCCGTGCATATTTTGGGTGGTTTTTTGATTACTGAATGCCTGCTCTGTCCAACGTCGGTATTTATGCCACAATCACGCACGTGCATTTAGACCCATGTCTCTAAATCACGTTTTGCACGTTTTCAACAATGCATGATTTGGAAAGCTGCGTTCGAAAATCTGCGTTGTGGTTGTGGTCATGTTGCATTTGGGCGAATGTTTTCTGCGGGGGTTCAAACCTGTACCAGCTTTTTTGCTTTTTATACAACTATTTTTAAAGTGAAAACTTTCTTTTGCCCGGTAGTTTATATGGATATGGACGCTGGATACTATAAGTCGCGAGGGGTACATGGGGTTTTATGCTTCCCGCGTAAGGTTTTATACCTAACAAGGGACAAATAAAACCCCATGTACACCGAGTGATCCTTCTAAAACGAATTTATCTTATCTTATATCATGTTTTAATGTGACAGAAAATAACACAAATTCAAAATTGATAGAAAACAGCAGTTCCATTGAACTGAGGTTAAATTGTGCTATGTCACGTAAATTGAATCGGAAAAAGCGTGCGTCTTTTTGCACTGAGGCGGGGTAATCTCAGAAATCCACATGCTGCCTGTATGGCTCTTGGCGGGGTATAAGAGATTTATTCCACCGTTAAGAAATGTATTACCCTCCAAGGCTACCAATCAGATCTCATCATTCTGACATGAATGTATGACAGAGTAATTTATCGACTGTGAGGAACTTGGTGTACTGATTGACGACACATCTATCTTCGCGCTATAATGGTTATGCAACACGGAAATAAATGAGACATGATGGTAATAGTTTCTTTACGGTAGAACCCCAAAGCAATACAAGCAACTATAATTCTCTACTTCCAGATTACTGTGTGTACTACCTGATCGCCAATGGGCCCCTAACGTTACCGTCGTACACGGTGCAGTTTTCATGTCTCGACAGCAGCAACAACATCGACCACAGCTCCGTCCAAATTGACATCATCCCCGACTCTCCGCCTGTGTTCACGGAGGGTGCTGCAAGTATGAACCAACTACGTCTATATTCCTACCTTTCAGTGGACCTGAGACATAATAGGCACACAACGTTCAATTCCTTGTCGTAAGAGGCGTCTCAACTGAATCTGGAATTCAGGCACTGTGACTGCAAGCCATCGTACCCCAATGCATGAGATAGAGCGCATTCATTCAGTCACTGGTTTGTCTGATCCAGACACGATTATTTACAGAGTGGGTTATAACTGGAATATTGCTGTGTGCGGCGTAAAACAACAACTCACCAAAAACTGTACGAATCTCTTAGAGCAGACGCAGAAACTTGACATACATACCAGCCTAATGTTATTTAATGTTGCTTTCAGTATTCTTTTAAAATGTGCTTAACGTAACCTTTTAAGAGTTTTCAACAATGCGAAATGTTCAAAATAGCTGATGCGGCATCAAGCAATATTTACATACACACTCCAACTATGGTTGGTTGGTTGGTTGTTTAACGCCGCACTCAGCAATATTCCAGCTTTATGACGGCGGTCTGTAAATAATCGAGTCTGGGCCAGACAATCCAGTGATTAATAGCATGAGCATCGCTCCACGCAATTGGGATCGATGACATGCATCAACCAAGTCAGCGAGCCTGACCACCCGATCCCGTTAGTAGCCTTTTACGACAAGCATAGTCGCCTTTTACGGCAAGTATGTGTTGCTGTAGACCTATTCTACCCCGGAATCTTCACGGGTCCACTCCAACTATGAACACTGACCTGTCAGGTGTACAAGCTGTAAATAATCATCACTGCTGAGGTGTTTAGATGAAGAATATTTTTGTTGACTGTTTTAAGGTATGACTAACTCTGTTTACTGTTTTTTTTAATGTCCAGTATCGAAGGCCGCCGACGCACTGACCACGAAAGTCGGTAACACGCTGTTCCAGGCGCTCGTCACCGATCCTAACGGAGACGCCCTCGTCTTCAGCCTGGAGCCAACATTCACAGAGTTTGAGATAGATCCACGTACGAAGCCAATTCTCATCTGTATATATGTGCATGTATTGTTGTCAGTGAACAGGATACGATTAAATATATTTTAATTATCATACCACAAATGTGTACCAACTGAAAAGGTATCTAAACCATGGAAACAAATAAAGTACACCCGGTAATATGTGACGGAACATACTATTGCTTTCCTAACTTGATATGAAAATATTCTTAATTTAAACTTGGTTTTGTTGTGTTTGGGGAAGACAGTTTGCTTTTTTGGTTTCCAGCTACTGGTAACGTGAACGCAAAAATAAATTTCGACACGTTGAATACATCACCTTACACCTTCAAGATCAAAGTCACTGACGGCCGGACAGTGGTGGAGCAGCAGGTCACTCTCAACCTGAACAGTGAGTGTTGGAATAGTGGTAATCATTTCTCATTGGTCATCAGTGAGTATTGATGGCAGCCATCTCTCATTGCCCATCGGGGCGGTCGGGTAGCCTAGCGGTTAAAGCGTTCGCTCGTCACGCCGAAAACCCGGGTTCGATTCCCGACATGGGTACAATGTGTGAAACCCATTTCTGGTGTCCCCCGCCGTGATATTGCTGGAATATTGCTAAAAGCGGCGTAAAACCATACCCACTCACTTAATCAATCATTAGCCATCAGTAAGTACTGGAAGGGTAGTGGTCATCTCTGATTGGTCATCAGTAAGTATTGATGGTAGTCATCTCTCATTGGCCATCAGTAAGTATTGGAGTGGCGGTAGAATATCTCATTGGTCGTCAGTAAGTATTGGAGCGGTGGTAGAAATTCTCATTGGTCATCAGTAAGTATTGGAGTGGCGGTAGAATATATCATTGGTCATCAGTAAGTATTGGAGTCGCGGTAGAATATCTCATTGGTCGTCAGTAAGTATTGGAGCGGTGGTAGAAATCCTCATTGGTCATCAGTAAGTATTGGAGTGGCGATAGGATATCTCATTGGTCGTCAGTAAGTATTGGAGCGGTAGTAGAAATTCTCATTGGTCATCAGTAAGTATTGGAGTGGCGGTAGAATATATCATTGGTCATCAGTAAGTATTGGAGTCGCGGTAGAATATCTCATTGGTCGTCAGTAAGTATTGGAGCGGTGGTAGAAATCCTCATTGGTCATCAGTAAGTATTGGAGTGGCGATAGGATATCTCATTGGTCGTCAGTAAGTATTGGAGCGGTAGTAGAAATTCTCATTGGTCATCAGTAAATATTTGAGTGGCGGTAGAATATCTCATTGGTCGTCAGTAAGTATTGGAGTGGCGGCAGGATATCTCATTGGTCGTCAGTAAGTATTGGAGCGGTGGTAGAAATTCTCATTGGTCATCAGTAAGTATTTGAGTGGCGGTAGAATATCTCATTGGTCATCAGTAGGTATTGGAGCGAAGGTAGAAATTCTCATTGGTCATCAGTAAATATTGGAGTGGGGGTAGATATTCTCATCTGTCACCAATTAGTATTTGAGCGAAGGTAGAATTTTTCACTGATCACCAGTAAGTATTGGAAGTGTGGTAGAAATTCTCATTGGTCATCAGTAAATATTGGAGGAGGAGGGTGTTTTGGGGTGGGGGCGTCGGGTGTGTGTGTGTGGTGGTGGGGGTGTTAGACATCTGTCATCAGTTAGTATCGGAGGGGTGGTAGAAATTCTCATTGGTCATAATTTAGTATTACAGAGAAGGAAATGTTTTATTGGTCATCAGTAAGTATTATAATTGTAGTAGAAATTCTCACTGGACATCAGTAAATATTGGAGTGGCGGTTCTTACCCAATATGGCATGTACAGGGATTCATTATCTGTTCCTAAATTTTCAATTTCCCTTTTTAAAAAAAACCCTGATCATAACGGGAAAGCATATATCTTACTCCATGCTGCAACAGGGAAACATACTGAATCTACCGTTAATCTGTAAAAGATCTACCGATGCTGCGAGTGTCGGTGTTTTGTGTTGTACTGATGGTCGCAGAGGACCACATTTTTATTGTAGTCAAATGACGTGTGCATCCAGACTTGAATCAAATGTTCCGAGAAATGAATTAATGACATCTAGCTTCAGGAGAATCCTGTGGGAGTAGTATATTTTGCGAACATAAGTATGTCCAATAAGGGTATGTACAGTTGTGCTTGTACAACTGGCTAGGTGAAGATGCAAGTAGCAAGGTAACACCTGTCAGTGAGCTGTCTCCTGCTTTAAACCATTGTAATGACACACTCGGTACCTTCAGTAACATATGTTGTAAAGACTTAATTTTATTATAACCAGAACTCTAGCGTGTACCCGTGGTATGTGTTCCATAGTCTAATAGTTGGTTGGTTGGTTTGTTGTTTTACGCAGCACTCAGCAATATTCCAGCTATATGACGGCGGTCTGTAAATAATCCAGTCTGGACCAGACAATCCAGTGATTGATATCCTGAGCATCGATCCACGCAATTTGGATCGATGACATATATCAACCAAGTCAGCGAGCCTGACCACCCGATCCCGTTAGTCGCCTTTTACGACAAACATAGTCGCCTTTTACGGCAAGCATGGGCTGCTGAAGACCTATTCTACCCCGGAATCTTCACGGGTCCCATAGTCTAATATGACATCAACAATTAAATACTTGTTTTCATGATGATTGAGATTACGATTATGGTTATTACATACCCACGGTCGTGCATGTTCAATCTGTGTACTTACATGCATGTTGTCGCCTTCAGATCTTAACACTGCGCCCAATATAACGAACTTGCCGACGACACTGCCGCATCCCGAAGACGTTGCTCCCGGCGTTGCCCTATACACCTGTACCCATGACGAGTCCAGTACCGTCGCTATAACGCTTGACGTCAACCCCGTCACTGAGAGAGCAACCTTTGACTTGAACACTGCAAGTAGGTGGATTGTGGATGTGATTGCAATACGATTAGTGCCGCTATATTCCTATTGTAGTGGAAATGGTGACGATCGAGGTGATGTGCCGTGACGTGTGTGCCACGATAGGTGTGCCGTGACGTGTGCACCATGACGTGTGTGCCGTGACGTGTATGTCGTGATAGATGTGCCGTGACGTGAGTGCCGTGACGTGTGTGCCGTGATAGTTGTACCGTGACATGTGTGACTTGACCGTTGTGTCGTGATGTGTGTCGTGATGTGTGTACCGTGATAGTTGTGCCGTGACGTGTGTGACGTGACGTGTGTGCCGTGATGTGTGAGCCGTGATAGGTGTGCCGAGACGTGTGCGCCGGGATAGATGTGCCGTGATAGGTGTGCCGTGACGTGTGTGCCGTGATGTGTGAGGCGAGATAGGTGTGCCGTGACGTGTGTGCCGTGATGTGTTAGCCGTGATAGGTGTACCGTGACGTGTGTGCCGTGATGTGTGAGCCGTGATAGGTGTGCCGTGACGTGTGTGCCGTGACGTGTGCGCCGTGATAGGTGTGCCGTGACGTGTGTGCCGTGACGTGTGCGCCGTGATAGGTGTGCCGTGACGTGTGTGCCGAGACGTGTGCGCCGTGATAGATGTGCCGTGATAGGTGTGCCGTGACGTGTGTGCCGTGATGTGTGAGGCGAGATAGGTGTGCCGTGACGTGTGTGCCGTGATGTGTTAGCCGTGATAGGTGTACCGTGACGTGTGTGCCGTGAGATGTGAGCCGTGACGTGTGTGCCGTGATGTGTTAGCCGTGATAGATGTGCCGTGACGTGTGTGCCGTGATGTGTGAGCCGTGATAGGTGTACCGTGACGTGTGTGCCGTGATAGGTGTGCCGTGACGTGTGTGCCGTGATGTGTTAGCCGTGATAGATGTGCCGTGACGTGTGTGCCGTGACGTGTGCGCCGTGATAGGTGTGCCGTGACGTGTGTGCCGTCATGTTTGAGCCGTGATAGGTGTGCCGAGACGTGTGCGCCGTGATAGATGTGCCGTGACGTGAGTGCCGTGACGTGTGCACCGTGATAGGTGTGCAGTGACGTGTGTGCCGTACGTGAGTGCCGTGACGTGTGCACGTGATAGGTGTGCCATGACGTGTGTGCCGTGATGTGTGAGCCGTGACAGGTGTGCCGTGATAGGTGTGCCGTGACGTGTGTGCCGTGACGTGAGTGTTGAGACGTTTGCGCCGTGATAGGTGTGCCATGACGTGTATGCCGTGACGTGTGCCGTGATAGGTGTGACGTGACGTGTGTGCCGTGATGTGTGTGCCGTGATAGGTGTGCCATGACGTGTGTGCCGTGACGTGTGTGCCGTGACGTGAGTGCCGTGACATGTATGCCGTGACGAGTATGTCGTGACGTGTGAGCCGTGACGTGCGTGCCTTGCTGTTTGTGCCGTGACGAGTGTGCTGTGCCGACGCAATCCGTGCCTCTGTACATCACTATAGATAGTTGATCTCCACTTTAAATCCATATAGAAAGTTGATATCCACTATACATATAAACAAATAGTTGATCTCCACTCAATCCCAAACATGTGTCGTGTTTCAGCGTGTACCATATCTGTAGCAGCTGGACAAAAGCTGGACTTTGAGAGAACGAACTCCATGAGTATGACCTTGACCTTGAAGGATGGAGTTTTCACCTCGACATTCACATTTCAACTGGACGTCCTTGACCGGAACGACCCACCGGCCTTCACAAGCCCCACCTACACCATGGACATCCTTGAAGGACCCGTGAGTACACCAACAGCTGCTGGTTGAATAATGATGAGGCTGAAGACGAAACCAGAATATCATCCCAGGTTTTTGCCAAAGACGCATTTCACACAAGAAATGTTGTTGATAAAATTATTGTATGTGTATCAGTAAGAGAGGATCATTGCGAGAATTCTAATATTTTAATGACTTTAATTCTCATACCTAGTTGTGTGCTGGTTCAGACTTGACATGTGTACCAGGATCCCCATCCCGGTTCCATATCCCCCAATATAACCCGGATAATGGGTAAGATGCTGCTTTAAACAGCGAAGAATAATCCACTACCTTCAAAGGATTGCACAGACTAGTTTTTCTCTATTACAGCACATAACTGTAACACTTGTTGGCAAATATAAACATTTCTCCGACTTCAGGCACTATGTCCGTCTAGCGTTTAACGGATGTAAAATGTTATCTGTAAATGCCAACGTATAGCACCAACACTCTTCGTACGTGACCTTGTTACCTTGCTCGGCACCTGGTGACATCATTCTGATCCGTATGCCATGGACTTAGATAAATATAAAACGTCAACGCCAAGTAATAGTCAGTCTCGATTATCTGCCGAAAGAGATTCCATTGGGCGTAGATGCCAACACAGGGGTCTACGTATATGAATGGATCACTTAAAATTAGTGATGACACCAGGCGTCCTTGAGGTCCTTGTACGTGACTGTTACCAGGCACCTTGTGTCATCATTGTGCGAGCTGTGTCAAGGAATTGAATAATATATTGTTTCCAGTTACCCTGCTTTTGTAATACTGAAGTCTGAATATATCTATAAAACTGCAGCTTCCCGTCACGCCAGCCATTCAGCCAGCGTTCACCGTGACCGACGAGGACGCCGCCGAAACTCACACCTTCTCCATGGGCACCGGCACGTACGACTCCTACTTCACAATCAACCCCGGGACGGGGGCGCTGCAAAACATCAAGGAAATCGACTTTGATGCCGGCCTTACACAAGTTACTGTCACGGTCATAGCTACAGACAAGGGAGGGGACACCGCGACGACAACCCTCAACGTCAACGTTGCCGACTACAACGACAACGATCCCGAGTTTGCTACCGCCAATACGAACTTGTACATCAGTCCGAAGACTCCGGTGGGCACCATTGGTCAAGTAGCTGGTACTGATAAGGACACTGGGGTGAACGCAGCGCTGACCTACACCCTCCAAGCGGACAACTCCGGGGGAAAGTTCCTCGTCCAACCTGACGGGTCGGTGTATTTGCAGACAGTTGTGACGGAGGCCCAGCGGAACGACATCTACACCCTCACCGTCAGAGCCACGGACGGTGGCACACCATCCAGGAACGCTGACACTACTGTTACTGTCCAGTTTGTAAGTAGTCAGGCATGCGTACAATAGACTGAGCAGTAGCGCTATTACTGCCAAACACATTATATTACATTATATTACAGTAGACTGTGCAATCACATTAAAATCAGTTCTTAGTTCTCGCTGCCGCTAAACAAAGATCTGAGGACATCCCATTTCAGGTCACGTCAGACCGACCTTTCGCAAACTCTGACCGACCAATGGAATGACTGACAGGAAGTCGACATTAGCCAGTCAGAAGGCAGCTTTGTCATGCTTTACGGCACTAATTTCAAATTGGCGACTACGCTTCGAAATATATTTTGACAAATTCTCGCTTAAAAATTTGAAACCTGAACAAAAGAACATTCTCGAATGGCTAATATATGGTCTAGATTGTATAGATTCAGTCGTTAAGCCCGTAACTATCGTTCGGAATACCCCGTTTTAAAGTTTTCGAGGCTGCATGATGAGAAATCACATTACGACTGTCACTTTCATGACCTGGTAAGCGACGCTCTGATTGGTCGGATGAAAGGTCGTTCTGACGTGACCCCTAATTGGATGTCCTCAGATCTTTGTTTAGCGGTAGCGAGAACGAAGATCATCTGATTTTAATGAGATTGGTAGACTGTGTAATCCGACAATCCGACGCTGTGACATATTCATCCACTAGGCCCTAGGTGGTGTATGGTAATGTATATCATCAAATCTGTCAAACTTATTTCAAAACCAGTGAATATATAATGTAATTGATTAAAAACGTAACTCAAATACAGGTACAAGATTTTCCCAAAAGTATCAATCACAGTCAACTAAAATAGATCTAGCTGTAACTATGCACTTTATAAATTCATTGTTAAGCCGTCCTTGGAGTGAGTGAATGTAAGGAAGAGCAATATAAGAACTCCTTCTTCTTATTATTATTCGTAACATTATTTGAATGAAAAAGAAACAGAACAATTTCCCTTCTGGTTAGTGTGAGGGGTTTGTACAAGAGGCGGTCAACACTTCACTTACGGCATCCAATACAATAACGCTCGCAGGAAAGAGCATAACAAAGGACAAGACAAAGTGTTACAGTCAACTTTGAAACATTTGTAAACGCAAGATGCTTTGTGAATCATGGCAAAGGCGTGTAGTCTATTATAACCGCTTCATCTCGAACATTTGCCACACAACCCATATACACTGCCAGGAATAAGAAAGTATACACGTGAAAATTGGATTTGATCAAAACATTATCAAAACGTTACCTAGTGGAAAACAGTCGCCGAAACACTGCATACTTAAGGTAAAAAAACAAGTTGAACCATGATAACCGTATCAAATACATGGCCATCGAATAACATTTTCTTTGTTTTTGCCTCCATGATACATGGGTGTATACTTTCTTTTGCCCTATTAGCAATTATTCTTTGCTTATCTGTGTGTCCAGAACATTCCGCCAGTGATCACAAACTTGCCGAACGCCGCGTTTCTCAGCGAGGACACCAAGGTGAAGACGGAAGTGTCCAAGATCGAAGTGACCGAAACCGACACCTTCGTGTGCGAGGCCGACAAAGTCCTCCCCGTCACGGCCAACACAGCATTTGTCGTTGAGAAAAAGACTGGAGGGCCAGGCACGTGTTTGTTTTCAAACCGTTTAATTACCAAGGTTACTTTGTTTTGATTTTAAATCAGCGAAAATTAAGTGAATGGAGAAAACTCACCAGAAATGAGCTTCACATAATGTACACGTAAGGCCAATCGCAGCCGGCCTTCCGCGAGACGACCAAACGCTTTATCCACAAGGTTACCCAACCGCCCCTTTTGAATGAGCGAGATAACGTTGCCATGATTGCATATTCTATCGTACAGACAAACCTGAAGCGATATACTTCCTTCACGATACGATTTGCACCATGATGCATTTCAACAGGACAACAAATATTATAATTTCAAAATTCTCTATTTGATGTCAACTGGACATGCAATTATACACGATCAGACTGCATAAGGCGCAAGCACACTGGCCGTATGGGGATTCCGGGTAAAAATACATCCCCGTATCAATGGACCGGTTGGTAGGGTCGTGACTTGGTTGACTTGGTTGATGGCGTCATCGTACCCCCACGGCGTGAGTCGTTAGTATCAATCATCTGTATTTTCTGGTCCAGATTCCATTATTTGCAGAGTGCCGCGTTTAACAACAAACAAACTAGCGCATGGATGAATCCTTTCACACTTAGTGTATTGTGAATTCGTTTAGCCCTGAGCGGCCAAGACACCGTCAATCATCGTCGTCAGCTTTAGTTCAATACTCTTCACCCCAACCCCGCGGGGGCTTTTGGATAGCCTAGTGGCCAAAACATTCCCTCGTCACACCGAAGACCCGGGTTCGATTCCCCTCATGGCTGTATGAAACCCATTTCTGGTGTCCCCTATCCCGATATTGCTGGAATAGTGCTAAACGCGGCGTAAATCCTCGCTTCACGCCGAGAATGATGTATCTCCCATTACCCTGACTTGACAAATGAATGATGTAACAATAATGTATTTAATAATAAGAATAACAATATTTTTCCAGACTGGTTTGTGTTTTACACTGGTCTGCAAGCGTTATCGTTTGCCACAACCCCGTCCTTCACCGTAGATGTCATCTGTACCGACTCTCACGACGGCAAGTCGATCAAGAGCACACTCACCGTCAACATCAGACAGAACACGCCACCGGTCCTGAACTGTGTCCCTAGTAAGTTCAATGTCGCATGAAAACCAGTGTGAAATATCTTATTGACATACAGGGGATGGCTAACATGTTGTCTTAGGCACTAAGCTCCGCTGTCAGTAGCTGCGTCCCCGAGTGCTGCCGGAATCTGCCGATCATGGGTTCTGTTGCCAAATCCGTCTGTCCTGAATCTTGGTTTGTCTGCTCCATACCCAACATCTTAGTCATCAACGTCCCACATCTTGCCTACACGCTGTGGTATGGCTTGAATATTTATCAAAGCGGCGTAGAACCCATATCACTAATCTATTTTGAATGGTATACTACTCAAAGTTTGCTAAGGATCACCACTTTAAAAGGTAATACGTTAAATGTGTATCTGAAATAGTCAAATACAACATTGCGTGGAGACATGTTTAAAAAACAAAAGTCCGTTGTAACGTGCCCCATCATGCCATCAAACAACATGTGACAATAATCAATCTGATCACCCGTGAAAATGAGAGTATCTGACCAAAACTGAAACGTCAGAAAATCACGAAAACAAATTTATTGTCCACAAAATCTACTCTCAGTGGCGCGTTGTGATCCATATGATGCCCCGTACTCTCGAGCTCCCAATAGGTGTCTGTAACTATAATTGTTGCCAAGGGAAGATTGTTTCACTCTTTAGTAAGACTCTTTAGTAAAAGTAACACCCGTAGAGTTGCCGGAGGGACAGGGTGTCGTGAGAGGGCGATCTGCAGCTGGTTCCACATGTATTCGATTGGGTTGAGGTCTGGTGTGACCGGCTTGGCCACTCCATGCGGACATTGGTCTCCTGCTCCAAGAAGACATGAACGACCCTGTCACGACAAGGTCGTGCCTTATCGTCAATGAGGTCCGGTCCGATTGAGCATACGCTACACATCCAGAATGTCCCTGTAGCGCACACCTGTCATCGAGCCCCGCTTTAGGACATTGAGATCTTTCTTTCAGATCTTCTGCTCCCACCCCAAATCATGATTAAGGCCACATCTATAGCGATCATGTCAACGGCAACGTTGGAATCTCCCTGTCCATGCCACACTCGTGCACGAAGATCTGTGTAATCTAGACAGTACCTCGATTCATCATATGAAGGTACTGGAGTCCAGTCCTGGTCTGTCTAATTGAACAGATCCTCAGCATCATCCAAACGTGCCTGCCTGTGATGTCGGGTCAGTGGGAGGCGAATGCATGCCCCCGTGAGACCAGGAACAAGGAGACGATTACGCACTGTCTGAGTAGAAACGTTAACGCTATTCACGTTCCGCATGTAATTTCTGAGAATGATGGCAGTCACGAATTGATGACATCTTGCTGCAATCATGAGAAACCTGTCTTCCCGCTGTGTGGTATAACGCTGTCGACCACTTGCATGTCGCTGGGCAGCTGGTCCAAACGTCTGGTATCAATTCCATGCTCTGCTGATCACCCTTTGGCTGATACAAAAGACGTTTGCAATGTCACGTTGTGATGACGTTGATCAAGCATGCCTATTGTTCTGCCTAATTCATCGGTCGTCAATCGACATCTTTGACGTTGAGGGGCGTAGATTCAGGTGTTGCAATCCTCACTAGCAAATGTTGTGCTCTCTTTCCGTTCCTCGTGACATTGAGGCCTTATAGGAGTTACCCACTGATTGTGTACCGGAATATTACCATCTTTATATGTTGGATGATTATTTGATACCACCAAAACTTGATCCTAAGCAAACTTTGAGTAGTATGTTAACTGGCGTGTTTATATGACTTCGATACCTTTATCAATTTTTATATGTTTGACGATATATGTCCCGGAGCAGGGTTAATGCATGATTTTATTCCTAGATTTGATCGGTGTTGACGCATCTGTAGCCAACATCGGAGACACTGTCCACACCATGGTTGCGACCGACGACGACTCTCTGATGTTTCAGATGGCTGTGCAGCCGAACCCTGGAACATTCAGCATACTAAACAGTACGTTACCCAGACATTTATGCTGATCATGCATGTTGGAATTGTATCAATACGATCTATAAGTAATGTCCTACGACACGTGGTAATGTTTTGTATAGCTAAAGAGAACTAATGTTGATATGTAATAGAAATAGAGATTACTACATCTGTGGGAGTGACAAACAGATTTTATTAAAAAGGTGTCTATTTCAAAACCGAGGGCCACGTAGACTATACACCCACAGCACGTATTTTGTATACACTCGGTATGTTGGTCGGACGGGGACAGTTGTTGCACTCTGTATGATGACAATACTGAAGAAGGTCCCTGGCTTGAGATTGGTACAGTCAGTGCCTACCTTTATTAATTAGCTGGGGCGAAGCGGTCGTATGTTGCATGGCGTGAACCGAACCGTGTTTAACAATGATAGACTTGGACGTTACCGTGTATTGTTACGTCATAAGTTCGCCAACAGTGACGTTAGTATTACGTCAACAATGATGTTTGCATTTTGTCAACGATGCTGCCGATTACCGGAGACCATATGAAGTATATGATATTACGCTAACAGTAATGCCTATATTATGTCAACGATGCTGCCTATATCACTAAAGACCATATTTAGTCTCTGATATTACGCTAACAGTAATGTCTATATTATGTCAACAAAGCTGCCTATATTACCAGATATCATATAAAGTCTCTGATATTACGCTAACAGTAATGTCTATAGTATGTCAACAAAGCTGTCTATATTACCAGATATCATATAAAGTCTCTGATATTACGCTGACAGTAATGTCTATAGTATGACAACAAAGCTGTCTATATTACCAGATATCATATAAAGTCTCTGATATTACGCTGACAGTAATGTCTATAGTATGTCAACAAAGCTGTCTATATTACCAGATATCATATAAAGTATCTGATATTACGCTAACAGTAATGTCTATAGTATGACAACAAAGCTGTCTATATTACCAGATATCATATAAAGTGTTTGATATTACGCTGACAGTAATGTCTATAGTATGCCAACGATGCTGCCTATATCACTAAAGACCATATAAAATCTCTGATATTACGCTGACAGTAATGTCTATAGTATGTCAACAAAGCTGTCTATATTACCAGATATCATATAAAGTCTCTGATTTTACGCTGACAGTAATGTCTATAGTGTGTCAACAATGCTGTCTATATTACCAGATATCATATAAAGTGTCTGATATTACGCTGACAGTAATGTCTATAGTATGTCAACAAAGCTGTCTATATTACCAGATATCATATAAAGTCTCTGATATTACGCTGACAGTAATGTCTATAGTATGCCAACGATGCTGCCTATATCTCTAAAGACCATATAAAGTGTCTGATATTACGCTGACAGTAATGTCTATAGTATGACAACAATGGTGTCCAGATGACTTGAAACATGTGCTTGTATTACAGCTGGTGTAGTACAATGCCAGAAGTTGATGATACGAGAGACGATCAGTCAGTACATCGGCGTGGTGACAGCGGCAGACCCCTACAACACCGTCACCTGCACCGTCACCTTCACCATGACAAGTAAGTCGTACTTAAAATGAGACTCTCTCCCACAATCCGAGGGACATTGTAGTTAGGCAAGACCTCTATTTTGGTTTTCTGATGTTTGGCCCAAAAATTCACGTCGCGATCAGTAATTTGAATAAAAAAATAAATATTTCAATTTCAAATATTTCCTCAATACGTTAAGTAGGTAGGAAAAAAGAGGGTTTTGTAGATTAAGTTCAACATGTTTTAATTATAGTCTTTTAACTAATTTATTTATATTAATTGCGACAGAAAATAAGTTCCTTTCACTGCTTATTCATTCTTATTTTTTTCAAAATTAATTTTTTTGGAGTCGTCGATTCGTAAACAAAGTTGAAAAAGAGTTAATGCCTCCATTGCATGTTTAATAGAATAGTCCTACCTTGTGGATCACACATTGCTCCTGTCCTATGTTTAATAAAATGGTGCTACCATACGTGCCAGGCACTGGCTCCACCTTACGTTCAATAAAATAGTTCACATATTGCCTCCATCCCACAGAATAGTTCCACCTAAAGATTCACACAATACCTCTCCCGTTTAATAAAATAGTTCTATTTTACGTGTTACATATTACATCTACCCCACGTTTAAGTGAGTGAGTGAGTGAGTGAGTATGGTTTTACGCCGCTTTTAGCAATATTCCAGCAATATCATTGTACCCATGTCGGGAATCGATCCAGGTCTTCGGCGTGACGATCGAACGCTCTAACCACTAGGCTACCCGACCGCCCCTCCAACGTTTAAGAGCATCATCCTACCTTACGTGTCACACAATACCTCTATCCCACGTTTACAAGAATATATTCACCTTACGTACCACGCATTGCCTCTACCCCATGTTTAGCATAGTGCCACTACCTAACCGAATGTACCCATTGTTGCGGGGAGAGATTTATCCTACCTTTCAATCACACAACAGCATCCTTTGTTTTAGAGACAGAAGGTGTTTTAACGTTTCAGACACGAACGAAGCCCCTGTATTTGAAGACCTACCTCGAGCCGTTGAGGTAGCAGAGGATCTGAACGCGGGTGGTGTTATAGCGCAAGTCACGATTGGTGACGCCCAGCAGTGCACCTCTTTAAGTTTAATCTGGGACGTGGACCCTGCTAGCGAACGCCTGACCTTTAATGCTGCCTTAGTTAACAAAGGTATGTGAGACTGCTTGATGATGTTACCTCGTGCTGCTTGCAGTACATCAACATTAGGGACTGGTAACTTATCATAGGGGTATGGGTGGGGGAGTGGGGGTGTTGGGGGCGGTGAGATTAGGGGGGGGGGGGGGGGGGGGAGAGACAGCACAGCGAAAGAAAGGGGTGGACCAAATTTATCACAACTTAGGGGGCATGAAAAGTGACAGTTCTAAATTTTCAAATATTTAAATAAAATGAACATTATTTAGGGACTGGCTGTTTTATAATGGGGGGCGGCTCATGAAACAAATGTTACATGGATTTGGGGTCGGGTATAATTTTTATTTGCAGATATATAGCCACGATTTACATGTAGCCCCTACTTCCCCATGGGAGGGAATAACAATGTTACATGGAATAGGCAGAGGGGGCAGCAGACTATGATACAGTCCCAGGCCCAATATTAATCTCGCCCTCATTCCTCCTGTCATGGGTAAGAGACAGTCCGTCCCATGCGAGTGCGTTCAACCCGTGAATAATTGCCTGGGATGTGATTATGTCCAGTTCACAAGTATCACTGACTCCCATGGTCCCTGTGTTTTTGTAGTGCCAATGAATCTGAGCCACATGCTCATAGCATCTTACCAAGGACCACTTCAACAAAGCAATCATAGCTCTACATTTATTTCAAGCCTTTAAAGAATGAAAGTTACGATCGCCTCAGCACTAAGATCGCTGTGTGGAGCAGGGCCCGCTATGTCAGGGCGTACAGATGATCTAAAAGGAATGCGTATACACATAACTGGTTTGACAATGTCTCCACAAAATTACAACAAATAATATTGAAAATAGAAACCGTTAAAATTACTCTCACAACCTTTCTCCTACCCACAGTCGTGACCTTGACAGTGGCCAACGGTCAGAAGTTGGACAGAGAGAAGGTGGACAAGTACACCTTCTCCTTCCGCGCCAACGACGGCTGTCTCCTCTCCCAGCTGTACCCTCTCTACGTCGACGTGACCGACGTCAATGAGAAGCCAGAGTTCCTCAATGGTCAGAATTACATTGCGTACTTCGACGAGGTAAATCATGGTGCTTACAAAGCTGGTGTAAATGATGATACGTTTGACAAGCTGGCTGGTTACTATGGACAGGAAACATTGCAGCTGTCATGGCTGTTGACGAGAATGGGCTTGTGTGAGTGAGTGAGTGAGTGAGTGAAAATATTCCATCTCATCTGCAATATTGCAACAAAATGGAGATGAGAAAAGAAAATACTAACTGTCCGTTGTGTATCCTTCTGACTGTAAGAACCTCATGCCAGTAACCTTTTTCGGCATTGTCCTCACTTGAGGTGAGGTGAAATAGCCTTTAACGCCGAGTTGAGAATTATTGCATTTTTAGAGCGACGTGCATACATGTGAGTGTGTGGGACTGGTTGTACCAGTCTGGACTTCTGTCGGTTTTATAGTGCTCGCCCACTGAGACACCATGCTGCAGATTAACATGGATACCTCATCCTGATAGTTAAGAAACAGGCCCAATCCAAACTCAGAGTCGCATTACGTACCAAGGATCCATTTTAAGCACCCCATTCCCTTGTAGTAGCACCGGGGGCGGTGTGGTAGCTGATATGTTTGTCACGCTAAAGACCTGAGTTCGATTCCCAACATGGTTATAATGTGAGTCAATTCTGTGTCTCCTACCGTTGTGACACAACCCTACTGGCACTACTGTATGCATCGTACAGATGCAGCAGTGGAAGTAATGATGATGATAATGATGATGATGATGATGATGATGATGGCCCCATCCATTCAATCTGTGTTATTAAGAAAACTTGACCCAACGTTTATGAACAAGATGCCAAAATAAAACCAAAACTGTCACCTACCCTCAGGTAAATTCCCCAGGGACTAATCTGAACTGTGGCGGGATTGACGCAGACATCGGCGACGTCCACACCCTCGTGCTGGAGGGGGCGGACGCCAACAAGTTCACGATCGTGGACACGGCCCAGTGCATTCTGGGCCAGGCGCTGGAGCTAGACCGAGACAACAACGGCCCGGCTCAGATCAACCTCATCATGAAGCTGATAGACAAGACAGGGTTGTCTGCAGAGGCCACGGTCACTGTGTTTGTCAGAGAGGTACGTTACGCGTCAATAGTGTTCTGATAGATGTATAGTTCTTTATCATACCTCCATGTCAGAATGATGAAATCTGATTGGTCCACGTGATCTTCATAAAATACTGTGTATCCCGCCTTGGAGGGGAATAAATCTCTTATACCCCGCCACGAGCAATGCAGGCTGCACGTGGATATCTGAGAGGCCGAATAAATCCCTTATACCCCGCTTCAATACAAAACGCCGCACTCCAATCCCGGTTCTTTATGATAGAGCACAAGGATGGTCAATACTTAAAAAGTATATGGACGAGTATCGTTGAAATTCTCCATGTCAAAGGCCTTGAAATAATCATTCATGTTGTTCTATGTGACAACCTTGTATGATTCAGCAATAGTCATGTGATTCAGTCACGTGATTAAAGTCATCTTCACTGTCATATCCTAAACTTTCAAGAGTATCTTGGGAATTTTTAGTCCAGGAAACCATGCAAGTTTTACAACAAAATGACTACTCGGTAAATGTATTTATCGCGCATTTTAAACGCAGATATTGTGATTTGAATTACGCACACACAATACGTACAAGCGTCTCGTGTACGAACATACGCACACGGATACGCATACGCAAACACGTGTGTGTCCGGCTTTAAGCGAACATAAATGTCGTGTTCAACGTACACTCATTTCATGCTCAAAAGCCATAGATACAACGTTGAATAGATGCACATTTGTCAAGTGCTCAGTACACAATTACCATTTGCAACGTACAGTGCCAGGTTCACGTACATACAGATAAATGTCACGTTTAACGTACAGAAATCCACTCGAAAAGAATCTGTTTGGTATGATATATACTCATACGCAAAAGAAACGCAAGTCGAGTGTGCAGTATACATGTTATTTATTTTCAACAGTAAAGACAAGAAATACTAATAGGGCAAGATTGGCAAAAATTTGACTAAAGACAGTTTAATGGATTAAAACGCAGATGACATAATTGTTTTTTTTCAAATGTTAAGGGCTTACACAGTTTCGGGTCAGTACCAAAATGTCAGTCAATACCTGGTGTGACCACCATTAGCATTGATCACTGCCACACATCTCCTGTACCTTGAGTGGATCAGACGATTTGTGAAGGCCCTAGGGATCCTCTTGCACACATCCAGAGCAGCTGTGCGTAGTTCATCGGCAGTTGTAGGGACTGGGCGCACATTATGCAGACGCCTTTGAACCTCATCCCACAAGTGTTCGATGGGGTTCAGATCAGGGCTGAGGGCTGGCCACGGTAGAACACGGATGTGTTGCAGAAAGGCCATGGTAGCTCTGGCAACATGGGGACGAGCGTTGTCCTGCTGGAAAATGTGTTGTTGATGTTGTGCAAAAATTGGAACAACGTGGGGTTTGATCACTTGGTCGATATACCGCTGAGCAGTGACGCCGTGTTCCCGACCTTGACCAACATTCAGAAAGCACATGGGTCCAAGTCTCGCATGAAGTCCAATCCCTGCCCATATCATGACGCTAGGTCCAACCCATGGATCCCTTTCCACAACGTTTCTGTCAGCGAAACGATCAGCTCGACGCTGCCAAATTCTGTCTCTTCCGTCTGCATGAGAGGCACAAAAGCGACTTTCATCAGAGAAGATGACACGCCTCCACTCACGATGACACAATTGTGATGACCCTGTGCCCACTGAAGTCGTGCTTGTCGATGCCGTGGTTGGAGAACAGGACGACGTGCTGGTCGGCGAGATCTGAGGTTGTTTGAACGGAGACGTCGGATCACAGTGTCCCGGCTAATGTGTCGATTATGTGTTCCTATGGTCTGCCGATCTTGTCGAGGTGTGGTGACCCTAGGACGACCGCTCCGAGGAAGGTCATCTGTGGTCTGTGTAGTATTGTATCGATGCAGGAGACGGTAAACTGTGGTTATGTTAACGTTGAAATGACGGGCAACATCTTGGACAGACTCTCAAGCTTCCAAACGTCCGATAGCCTGGTTTCTCTGAATTTTAGTTAGGCGTGGCATTGTTGACCAAGGAATGGTAGGTTCAAGAATCGGCCACAGTTTTATACCCACTACAGTTCGTGACAGTTCGTGCAATTTCGATTTCGCGAGAAATGGGTGCATGATACCCACATATTCATTGAAATGGTGCGTTTTGGCGATTTGTTTTTTATGTTGCGTTTTTACTCGGGGCTTCCAAAATGCAACCAAAAATATTGATAACACCATCAGGCTTCACTGCATGCTAAAACTCGTATCAATTTATGGTTCTGTGTTTGTTACCTATTTGCTTAAAACCACTTGCGTTTCTTTTGCGTGTGAGTATATATTCCAAATGAATACCTCCATCACATTTCAACTATTTCATCAGAGTTTAATACGGCACATTTATTTCCCTGACAGGTGAACGATAACGACCCTATCTGCGACCTACCCGCATACACCTTTGGCAACATCTTCAACGGCGACACAATTGGACGGACATTGGGCAAAATAACAGCATCCGACTTAGATCAGTCAGTCAACGGACAGGTTACCTTCAGTTTCGCCAGCGGTAGTTCCGGAAGCGGTGTCCTTGACATTGCCAGTGACGGTACCGTCAAGTTGGTTGGAGACCCAGATGGAAAGCTGTCTCCAGGAGCCCTCGTAGACCTGACCGTCCAGGCAACAGATGGAGGAACTCCGTCACGGTCGTCCACTTGTAAAGTGAACCTCCAGTACGTCTACACGACAACGCCCCCTACCCCTCCTACCATGCCACCAGTGACTGGCGCGACTGGGGCTACTGGCGGCGCTGGGGGCACTGGCGGCGCTGGGGGGACTGGCACGGCAGCAACGTTGTCGCCGGTGGATGCGGCGTTGCAGAACCCCGTCATTCTGGGCTTGATTGCTGCTCTGGCAGCCTTGCTATTATTGGGTATCATCGGGGCGCTACTGCTGTGCTGTAAGTGTCAGGCCTGCCAGGGATCGGGAGGAAAGGGCTCAAATAATTACGAGTAAGTTCTGGAAATGTAATTTGTTATTTGTCATTTTTTATCTTTATGACAAATCTTTAAGGTTTAATTTCGTACTGATTATGATTCTTAGTTTGTCAGTACCAGAACTGTGCTAGTGAATTTCACTGGTTATGACCGGTGTCTTTGATTCCATAAGATGGTACTTGTTGCCTGGAGCTCGACATTAAGGGGATAAAAGTAGGAATGGTCGGCACAGAGTCAGTATACCATATTTGAATATTTGAATTGTGCATCCATGTTGAACTGTGGCACAGTATCTCAGTGGGTTAGCTCTAGAAAATCTGGTAATGACAAGAACTAAACCAGGCCATTGTCAGATAATGGCATAAACTGGACATTGACATTGCTCTTGCCAGGTAATAAAAAGAACTGTACCAGGCCCTTGAAAGGTAATAAAAAGAACTGTACCAGGCCAATGCCAGGTAATAAAAAGAACTGTACCTGGCCATTGCCTGGTAATAAAAAGAACTGTACCAGGCCATTGCCTAGTAATAAAAAGGACTGTACCAGGCCAATGCCAGGTAATGGCAATAACTGGACTTTCCTCAGGTTTCTTCTGTCATGACACTGATAGTTTGTGACATATTCTCCACTTTACAGTATGAAGCGTGACCACATGTCCAGCAGAGGTCGGTGGTCACCGAAGTCCAACCGGGTCACCACCGTCAGCGAAGTGACCCCGGCCAGTACGTATATATAATCACTATCACATAATAACATATATAATTACTCAATCACTAGCTGTCATATTTCAGAACATGAAAGGGGTATACGTACATTATCTGCCTGACCGTCTGTCTGTATGTGGAGTTGTGGCCCATAGTTGTGACAGGATATAGGTTCGAATAAAAAATTCACTCCGATAATGATAATTGACAATATCACACCTTGATAAAAAGGAATCATGGTTGAAAGTTGCATAAAACCCATCTAACTCACCACTTTATATGTCTCTTTGAGGTACCCTCTGTTTCTCATGTATTTGTATAGCAACTTCTCAATAGCATTGACGTTTAATCTATAAATACTACTTTGATTGCAGTGCACGATGGCCCGACAACGTTAAAATATCTGTAACAGAGTCAACGCTCAACGGGAAACAGATGGGAAAGGTAAGCACCGCATCCTCGTTACTGTCGTATATACCGAATTACCATGTATAATATTAGAAATACCTACATGCTACATTGATCTCATATTGATAAGGGCGGACGGGTAGCCTAGTGGTTAAAGCGTTCACCCGTCACGCCGAACACCCGGGTTCGATTCCCGATAAGGGTACAATGTGTGAAGCCCATTTCTGAGTGATATTGCTGGAATATTGCCAAAAGCGGCGTAAAACCATACTCACTCACTCATATTGATAAATGTCTAACATACCACCGATACCTGCTACTACTGTGGTACAAAAAACATTTATTGTGTCAAGTACTCGGTCGAGCAAAGAAGATGAGGAAGCAAATGTTGATTTCAAACAACTGTTCAAACATCATCCATAAATCAAGTCATCATATAATGGATTTCGGGTTCTTTGTCAATGAGAGAATCTCATTTTGCAAACAAGCAATCAAATGTATTGTGTCAGATAATAAATACAGGATACGATTAAAATTACAGTAAACTACGGTTATAACGAACACGCTTATAACGAACTGACGGATATAACGAACTTACTTTTTTAGTCCCGACTATTTGCTGTAGTTATGCTGTATATATGCTTATAACGAACTACGGTTATAACGAACTAAACATAGTAGTCCCTTTGAGTTCGTTATAACCGTAGTTTACTGTATGTGAATTAATTGCAAGCTATGCTTCACCTTTCCAGATGTACAGGCGACATCTTGAGGTAGATCCATGGTTCAAGTCCCCAGCACGATATGTCCGACTGGAGTGACGTCCCCTCCACTAGTCTGTAACGCCGTATACATGTGTGATATATGTAGAGACTGTGACGTCACGCCTCTGTTGCCTCCTTCCACGCTTTCAAATATGGACGTTCATACCTTAGTTACCGATGCTACTATTACCGTTACTTTTAAATATCTATACATTGCTATATATAGAATACAACGATGCATTTACAGGTGTATGCTGATATTATGCAAAATACCTATAGTTTTATGAAGATATTTTGTCAAATACCTACATTTTTGTAGGCTTGTACACGTGTGTGTAGCAGTGTGTGGTGGCGCTTCGATATCATGTTAATTTTGCACTTATGCAGTTATCTCCCTTGTATCATAACCACCTCCGACGATAGTCCCGTTGGCTGAAATTTGTCCTCGGTATGGGCACGAGGATATCATTTCAAAAGTAATAACAAATACATTCCAAGATGATAATAAATTCTTTTATTTTTCAAACACCATTATAACAATTTATTTTATATAATTTACACGAAACATCGGCAAGATTATTTTATTAAAGGTGTTTTTAGGTATGTATATATCATTTGTACAGTTTGGAACTTGTCTTTGAATAAACTGTGACATGTATATGCTTTGTAGTTTAATGACATTGATAAAGTGCATTGATAAAGACAAACGTGGTTGACAACGACGGTTCACCTCTACAATTACGGTTCATCTGCAGAAATATCGTCCATGTCGCCTCATATTGTGCATTCGTGATCCCTTGTGTCGTTCCGGGGCAAGCCGAATGGCTTCTACCAAGCTACGGAAAGTGGCGAGTGACAAAGCCATGAATAAAACAATTGTACTTTGGTTTTATTTGGCAGGTTCTCAAGGACCTTCATGAACTGTATGCCAAGTGCTCGAACCCTTTAGCTGCACAATCTTTGTGGTGTGAAGCAATATTCACTTTCATGATGTGTATTGTCTTTCTGCATATGAGACCGTCTTCGTGGCCTTGTGGATGGAGCGTCTGTCTGGAGGTCGGGAGTTCGATCCCCAAAGGACGTAAAAAATGGTACTTCTTGTACCATTCCTGATGCTACGATGGTGTCGCATTTGGCTAGCACTATAAAACCGTCATTAGTCCGGAAGAGCACTCACACACACACACACGCACGCACGCACGCACGCACGCACGCACGCACGCACAAACACACACACACACATGTATATACATGTACGTGGCTTTATGAGTGCAATAACCTTGAATGCAGCGTTATACACCATTTCACCTTACCACTGCATATGAATATAATCCACGGGAGAACAACCATGTCGGACACATGAACGATTTACACCAACAGCACTAATGTGAGAGGTGATGCTTCTTAAGCATCTAAATATACACAGTAGATTGTATTGCTAATCAACATACATGTAAATATACATGCATTTAAATAAGCATGTACATGTGTAAAATGGGATTCACTCAGGAAATTTACAAAATGCCGAAATATTTCAGTCATTTTACAAATTGACTGAAAAATCTGTACATTTATTTTACAGATCGACTGAAAATTATTAAAAAGTTCAAAAGGGCTTAAAACATAATAATATACTTACTATGATAGGATTAGAGTGAGTGAGTATGGCTTTATGCCGTTTTTAGCAATATTCAAGCAACATCACGGCGGGTGACACCAGAAATGGGCTTCCCACATTGTACCCATGTCGGGAATCGAACACGGGTCTTCGGCGTGACGAGCGAACGCTTTAACCACTAGGCTACCCGACCGCCCCTGATAGGATTAGATGGTAAAATATTAAAGATATATACATTGACTTTCGTTTTCTCCTAATCCTATCATTTTCAGTCACTGGGTTTTGAAATTCAACGTATAAATGTTTGGAATTTGTTATCAAAATAATATTCAGGCGTTTTTGTAAATTGCATAGGTAATCCCAACTCCAGTACGTTTACACATTGACGGTAACATATATACATACATTATACCTTACATGATTTTTAATAACATTTTACATATATACATCACTCATATATTATCCATATAACCTATATAGTGTATATTTCATATCTGATAAACATATACATATATACAATGTATAATACATTTTATCTAAAAAACTTACATATATACAGAAACAAACATATATGCCCGTCCGAGGTTAACGTGTCATATATTAGGTTTACATATATAAAGATAATGTGACAAATGTGATCAAACAGAGCTGCCTAGCAATGTATAAAGAGAAAGACGTCTTCAAATTAAATGAATTTAAATCACAGAAACAGTAGAAGCAATCACAGTTTTGTCGCCATGGTGTTCCTCTTCACAAGGCGATATCCTGACGTCATGTATTGGACAATACCACAGATACCTTAATGCGTACACCAATTGATGCCTTGTGTCATCACTGATTTTCAGTATTCCAGTCATATAAGTTGTATGGTTCTTTTGCATGTTACGGCCATTGGAGTCTGTTACGGCAGATAATCGAGACTGGTTCTTCTCCTGGCGTTGATGTTTTGAACTTACAACCTTCCACCGTGTTCACAGTCTCATGCCATCCACATTTCAACCACAGCATCTCAAACTCAAATTTTGCCTCGACCATTTCTAATTTTTAAAACCTGTTTCCGCCTTGCAATAACGCCTTGCAATAACTGAAATAAGGGTCAAAACACACTCCCTCCCTCACTCACTCAACGCGAGACTGCATGACCACGGTGCTAGGTTTACTTCTGCTCGCGGAAGGACCAGAGAACAACAGAAGATTAAAGATGGCAGATATTCCTAGCCCTGAACGTGACGTGGAGTAATACTACCTCTAAAGATCTGGAACTATCGCACCAGAGACGCAGTACACTTTGCAAATGTACATGGGCTGGATGAACAACTCTGCGCCTAACTACGAAGGGTGTAAAGTACACCCTTAACGGTTTGCATGTATTAAGTACACTCGTATCTGCAGTCATCAAATGACTAGGTTTTCACTGTTGATGGAAATGGACAAAGGTGGATCCAACTTAAAAGGCGAACTCTAATGTTGACATTTATGTTGCCATTGTGCAAATTTAGGGGCCATGCTCCTTCCTTTACTTTACCACTGTGAAGACATGGGAAGCTGAGTTCAAGAAGGGAAGAGAGAACCTCGAAGATGATCCAAGATCGGGAAGAACTTCAACTGCTTCCATTACGGAAAATGTTGTTCAAACACATGACATGATTAAGAATGATCGGCGACGCACCACTTGTCAAATGGCCAGTATAGCAGGCATAGAGGAGTTGAGGACATTCAGAATAACGAACTGGGAATGGCAAAAGTTGTAGCACGCTAGGTTTCAATGCTTCTGACTCGCTCCAAGTTCATCAGCTCTTGTAAGACATTATGTCAGCCGACCAGCTGATTTTTTTTAAGAAGAAGGCAAAGTCTATTCCATTAGCTGGCAAGTTGATTGTTTCGGGTGTCTTAGATTTAAAAAAAAATCGTAATGCAAAGGACTGCCTCCCGATAAGGTCAGACCATTAATGGCAAAGTCTGATAATCTGTTTGGGCAATTTTGTGAGATTATCAAGGCTAAACGTCGTGAAAACCTCACTAAAGGTGTTGTCAGTGCACCTATGCACAAGTATGTTGTCGCCATGGCTGCAATGCATTACTGTGGCTTTGAATTCATTGAACATATTCCGTATTCAACAGATTTGGCACCGTCAGAACTCCACCTCTTCCCAAACTTGAAGCAGGAACTGTCAAGCACTATGCAAGTGATGATGATGTCATTTCTTCTGTACAGGACTTTTCACACCTCCGGGAGGAAGCCTTCTACACCAGTGAGATCCAGGCACTCCAGGATTGTCTGCAGTAGTGTGTGGATGTCAGAAGGGATTATGTTGAAAAATAATTAGCAACCAACTCCATGAACGTAGTCCATGACAGGCCATGACAGGCCATGACAGGCTGAGAACCTTTCAGCCACCCATCGTATATACTGGCCGGAAATACAACAATCTGGCACTGTTGAAGTTCACCATCACAAGACGTGTCAAGAGCGGCTTGAGTTAGTTCCATTGCTTAACAACGTGATTACTGTACTCACTTCACTTGTGCTGGTTTAGTTCATGCACTTCTGTATACACAAAACATTTAAAAGGAGGGCGGAATGTATTTTTGGTTTGGGATACTTGAAAAAGGCATAAAGGCCATTAAATAAATATTATAACAAGATAAATCACCTAAGGCACGGTAGACTTACAAATGTATGACTTGGATATTTCATCATGAAATGTATAAACATTAAATTCGTAAACATCGTCAGATTTACTAACGTTGCAGTACTCCTGATACATATTCACAAACGTAACAATTATGATTTGGGCATTTGTTTCAGCTTAAACTCTGAACTTAAAACTTGGTCCATGTATTCCTTAGATTGTGCATATATATGATACAAATGAAAGACACATGTTAGCGTCTGCCATTGGCGCTGATTGCGGGCGCTATGGTAGTTCGCTGTGTTTCTGAACTTCTCGTTCATGTCATGTCCGAAGTGTAATGTCACTTTCACATGGTCCGGTTTACAAGCAAACTCTGTGTTGTTCCTTCTGATGCGGCCAGAGACATATTGTACGTTTCTGAAACAAGAAGAAACCCTTCATCAATAAATATATACACGCCATGGAGTGTCGCATGACAGTCAGAACCTTTGACAAGCTGATTGATTCAATACGATGAATAAAAGGGATGACTGGGCTGGGAATTACGTCGCTCTCAACCCCGTTCAGTCACAGTGGACCACTGTTGTCGATCAGCGTATCAGGCGAGTTAATGAGTTCGACAGCTGTACACTACTTTTCAAAACTAACCACTCATCGATAGCGACTGGACCGCCAACAACCCTAGAGGTCGTTGATATTTGTTTCGACTTGGAGTCCTTTTTCTTATTACTTAGTTTACCGCTGGGGTGACCTTAAAATTAGGAATGTGGAAATAAAAGCGACAAAACCCTTTCATAGTCATAAGAAATCTCTGCTAAAACAGTGTCAAATACACGATTCCGACTCCATCACGAGCATGTTTTTTATGAATCTCAACTTAGACAATGTCTCCGCCCCAATGTCAACGCCCCAGACAATGTACTATAGACCTTTGGCCTCATCAGTACCATGGATAAAGATTGACTGACTCATTGATTGAATCTCACTTGATGGTGAGGTGTATCGACAGAGAGATTGCAAAATCGAAAAAAAGAAACAAAATCGACTGTTTCGCCCTATTTATTACCGCTGAGACGAAGTACAAATTATGAATACAGAATGCCATGATTCATAAAGTTGTCAAATGAATCACATCTTATATTTGGGACAACACTTTATCTATAATGTACTAGAATTTTTTCTTTTTACTAAGAAAGTGTCATCTTAAATATAACATTTGTTAAAAGTACAAATTCTTTTCACTGACTGACCCAGTGACACATGCTCAATGAGCCGTAAACTTTCACTCAGAGCGCGAAATGGAGAAAGTGGACGCTGCTCACGTTTATAACTTCCCTGTGCCACTTCAATTCAATTCAATTCAATTCTTTATTGTATGAAAGGCCACAGGCCCATATACAACGGAGTTACATAACATATTTTATAAAATACAAAGTCAAGGTAACAATTCACTTCGTAACAAAAAAGCATTATGTATGTACAAAGCCAGTTGATGTTGTGTTATAAGATCCTTGCGGGACAGTAATGAAGACAATCTTTTAGCATTAAAATGAGATAGAGACCACTGCGGTAAGTACTTGTCTCTTAGATTTTCGTATATAGGGCAAATAAACATGAAATGGTATTCATCTTCGACAACAATGTCACAAAATGGGCATAATCGTATCGATTTCTCAATAGATGAAAATCTCCCTGTGTTAATTTTTAGATCATTCAGGCCAAGTCTAAAACGAATAAGGGTGTTACGAGAATTCCTGTACCGTAAATTTGATAAATAGGATTCTGGTTCAAGCAATGACTTGAATTGGCGATAAGTATCATATCTTGAAAAGATGCTAAATAAACATGTTTCTTACAAAAACAAACAGAAAGGGGGGTAATTATATTATATTAATTCTATTTCAACCATCCCATGACGAATTCGTAAACCAACAAACACAAAAGGCCGCTGTATAGTTCTCTACTGTTGAAAAGCAATTTTAGCACCCGGTCGCGATCGAGTGGAGTTTTATTTGAACAGTAGTGTACATGGAAGCTTGTACGTGTATAACCGCGTAACTGGTTCACGGGAACACTGACTGGCACTAATTAGACTAAGCCACACGATAAATGCTTCAGCGTATTAGCAAGTACTTATGGGTGTGGCTTTGTGTGATATTCAGATCGTCAGCACGATCGCTTTCTGAAAATTCATTTTTTGCGAAATCTGGAAATCACAAAACGTGTAACATAATCATTTCCTTACAAAACCGTGTGTGTGTGTGTGTGTGTGTGTGTGTGTGTGTGTGTGTGTGTGTGTGTGTGTAATATTATATATACCTGCTCTATATTTATATACCCTTGTTTATATATATTGTCACGGCCTATACGTCTTCGTGTAGGGTGTCAGTTATTAATAGATATAGGTAAGTTGATATTACGAAAAAATGTTGGATATGCCAAAGAGATAAATCTTCTAAAGAAACCATGTATTAGGTTAGGGAAGAGAATTTATGGATGCCAACTTCTTCATGACGAGGAACACAAGGCTTCGGAGTATATGCTTACTCCTTCATCGGGTGCACTGATATGACGAAGGAGTAAGTATGTATATACTCCGAATCATACTCTACACAATGCAGATAACAGGTGGCAAAAGAATCCTGCAACTGAAAGCCAAGATTTCCTCTGTTTATCCTCAGACATTGACGAGGAGTACAATTATCTGTTTATTTTTTAAAGTTAACGAGATGAAAATATTTATAAACAGTTTCTACTGCACCAAACCAAACGTTTTTGCAATGAAAAGTCATAATATCTAAATTCTGCAAAGTCTTCATGTCACTGTTTAAATATACAATGTCAGCCTAGAGAATAAGCAGACTCGATTATCCGCCGAAACAGATTCAATTGGGCGCAAAACGCAAAATAGCCGTGAATGGATCACTGAAAATCACTTATGACAACCAATCAAATATTAATGTAACACTGATTGGCATGAAATTGTACTTTCTGTAATCTCAGAATGTAGCTTGTACATAATATATATGTCATTGTACCTCTAATGACGTTATTAGCGGTCTGACTGTAAGTAAAGCTCCTTTCAGTTCAGTCACAATATCTACCTTGTCAGCGTCTATTATCGGGATCAGCTTTCATCTTGTAAATCTTATACTGTGATTCATCGAGGTAGAGCGTAAAAATGTAATCTTCTAAAACACACCAAGATATCTTCTTGTGTTACGATTTTTTTCATACGAGCAATAAACGTAACATTTTAATTGGTATTTTAGGAACAATATATATTTCAAGTATGACTTTGCAGGGATTTTATACGTAGATACTCCTGGTGCTTGCTATAGATGACGTGAGGTCAAATGGGATTTTACGTCGCGCCAAAGATTATTGCACTTATATAGCGACGTGCATAAACGGGTGTGTTTGTGTGGTTCTTTGTACTAGTCCGAACTGATGCCGATTTATAAGCCCATTGAGATACCATGCCGCAGTTTAACATGAATACCCCACTCAGACACAGTACACTGACCTGTCCTTGTTTTAGCCCCTTAATGTCAAGCGCCAGGCAGGGTCACAACAAGTACCATCTCTTAACGTCTCTTGGTATGACGCGACCTGAGATCGAACACCGGACCTTCCGCTCTCCGGACGGACGCATCTACCACTAGATCACGCGGCCTGCTAGCTCTAATGAAATGGCCGTGGCCTCCAGGTACATCCCTTTAAGGAACAAAACCATGTTTTTGTCTCTTTTATCATGGTCAAGTAAAGTGGATTACCTGCCCGTATTGCATGCCGTGGGGTCCATCCCCTCGTGTATAGGACCTCAGCAGGATCCGCCGATAAATAATAAACTAGCTTTTTGAGAACGCTCCTTTTTGTTTCACACCGCCTCTTTTTCATCTCATAAATGAAAACAAACTTCAAAGTAGAACAATATACGTTTTCTTTTTCTCCCTCAAGCGACAATATTTTACAGCACAACAGAAAACAACAATATTATATTTATCTTCATTTGAATGATTAAAAGAGGATGAAAGCTGTATGTAAGAATTTGTAACGCGAGATAACAAAGGTAAAATCCGACAACTGTTATTTATGTTACTGTCGATAACAACTCCTATAATCTGTAAAGAAAAATAATTAATATTTGAATGGAAGTAAAAAAATTAATATAAAAGGAACTGAGTAAAATAATAAAACCTTCGATAAAACTGGTTCCTATGGTTAGGAAAAATAATCCATGTAGCAAAATATTTAAAATTTAAAAACAAACCTGATGGAAGGAAGTGCGACAATCGATAACGCGTCGTCATAAGAGCCAACTGAACTGAGAGAAACTTGGGTCATTTCTCAGGGGAACCCATAGTTTTTGATGACATTAAGATATTTGATGCAATGCTGCTGAGCTCTGACATTGATGCGAGTAACGTTTCTGTCTTAATTCATACCAACATGACGCTACCATTGCGTAGATGAACATATTATTGAATACTTTAACGTTCCGCTTGTTGCCATGGACAACAAGTTGAGGTGGACAAATGTGCCTCCGGCTTGTGATCAACTTCAGAAACCAATGCGAAGCCGAATGCTCTAATGTTATAAGTGGTGATAATGGTACTAGATGATGGCGCTCAACGCTGCAGTGTCAAGCCAGTGCTTTCCAGCAATATACGCAAACGGTTGTGTTTATCATCATCACTTTGCGGATGTATTTGTCAACACTAGGGTGTTACCGTACCGGAATGTTATCTACAGTCCTCGCCAATCGAAATAGAATAAAGGTATATCGCAAATTTTAATAAACGACTGTAGCTGCATGTTTGCTAATACTTATATAGTGAAAACAAGCAAAAAGATAGAGCGCGCTTTTCAAGAAATATCCATTACGTGATTAAAATCTGGGTCAGGATGGTCAGTTAGGTCACTGAGTGCATCTGTAACCAAGACAGGGCATATACTGAAATCATGTGTTTCGCTTGTTATGAACGTAAAACGCACATGAAGGTTAGATCGAGACTGATGGGTGATGTACGAATGTAAGATGTAGCAAGATATTTAATGACATTTGTGATCGATATATCTTTTGTTAATCATCGACATATGTTATCACCGAGCCCCACGAATAACGTGTTTGACACCTTTGCCGAACTAGGCTGGTATTCCGGCTGGACTAACGAGTCTATGCATAGTCCAATGGATTTCAACGTGCAGATTTCGGTCGACTGCAGACTTTGCAAAGCATCTGTTCTGTCAATTAGGCGTCGACAGACATTTTGCAAAACTTTTCATCTTTTTAATCAAGGTCTCAAGTGATTAGATGCACTTCGCGTCGTGGGACCCGTGGCAAACGCAAGCGATATGAGTGATGGAATCTGATTGGTCATTAGGAGGGACATAAAAGGGACCTAACTCGTAATAGCCACTGGTGGTGCTACGATCGAGCCTGAAAATTCGAGGCTAGTTTGGCAAGGGTGGGAACTGGACTCGTGTAGTCAGTTAACGCCCTTGCCTCGGGAAGATGACTCGGGAAGACTCCCACAAGAAGACCAGCAGCAGGGAACTTTACACCACTGCAGACATATACATGACAACATCAATGGTGGCTGCTGTGCAGTACCTGTTACATGGGAAGTTGTTGGACTCATGAAATCCTAGTATCTCTATAACAGAAAGGGGCGGTGAGGTAGCCAAGTGGTTAAATAGATCGATCGTCACGCCGAAGGGCCGGGTTCGATTCCTCACATGGGAACAATGCGTGAAGGCCATTTCTGGGGTCCCTCGGCGTGATATTGCTAAAACGGCAAAAACCTACACCCATTCACTCACTTTAACAGAATCGCACTGTTTTTAGTTGGAGGGGATTCATTTGTCTCGAGTGTCACAGGATCGATGTTAACAATAATCATATATGTCAAGAATTGGCAAAATATTCAACAATTGTTGCCACAATATCACGTTCAAAGCGATATTAAAGTCGAAATGGTATGCCGTTGATATGATAACGTGAGTTGGGTTTTAACGGCGCATTGATCTATTATATTCAGTTATATCTCAGCGTGCAGCTTTATGTGGAAGGGGGGCTGGAATTGTACCGAAAAAAAATATGTTGATTTTTTTTTCAGTCACAGGAACGACATTGTTGCAAGGCCAATGTTTTTTAATAAAATAATATCTGGTTTTGTAGCTGTAGCTGATAAAATATCTAATCTCGCTACAAAATCCCAGTTCTCACCCACCCAGAATAGCAAATGGTCGGCTCCTAAACTCACCCACTGACGAGCGAGCGGTTAAACAACTATGCTACGCCCATGTTTATTAGGTAAAAGAATCAAACAGCTAAATTCAAATTTGCTCTCAGAATGCTGAACGTGGTATGATAAACCATCCTTCGTGACATACAACCTGTCTGTTCAGCCTTTGAAATACGATGTGATCTGCTCGTGAGCCTAAGAGATAGAGCAGGGCGGGGAAATGGCATGCTTGGATGGCAGTTTATCGCCTCATTGTCCTCTGCTATTGATTAGGACCCTGCCAACTTGCAGCTGGCGCTTAATACTGGGTGTTATTTCCAGACTCCAGTGCCCTTCGTTATCACTCACACTTAATGCCGTGCAACTATTGAATGTCGAACTGAAATTTATACAACACACCGCATTTTGCCAAACATAGCTGAATGTACACATCGCGGAGAAATGTCCCTAAATACGGAAGAATTCGGTGCAAAACCTCATCAAAATCAAACCTTTGACTTTGATACGATAGCTCTCCTTTAAGCTTCGCGTATCGGAATTAATATCTGATTTTGATTCATAATGAGACTGAAGTTGGTGTTTGGGGGTTGAATACACTGTCGGACCCTGTTATCTCGAATTTGGATGTGTCGAATACACAGTTGTGTCGAACTCAAAGTCGTGTCATGGCCAACATTGTCTTAAAACAACCGTAGTGCAGTTGATGTGATTTAAATAATTATCTTTGCGTTATAGCTTTAATATATATATAGCAAGGGTTTTGTTGATGGTATTAACTTCAGTAACTGGTAGATGCAACATTTGCATAACAGTCTTAGTTGAAACATATATTTTTTCCAGATTAAAACTGACAGTACCTTACTGTCCCGACAAGTACTGTCAACGAGAAGGAAATGTCAACACACAAGTACGTAACGCGGGTTCACATGACATGGACTGTCTCTTCATTATCATGTATAACATTATCTTAAACAATCTAACAAATAAAATAAAAACAAAACAAGCTGACCTGCCGGGCAAAAGAAAGCATTTGATACTATGATACCCTTATCAAATACATCACCATCGAAAATCCTTTTCTCGTTTAATTCATTTTAGCCAAACAACAGTGTATACTTTCTTTTGCCCGGCAGTTTAATTTGAAAAGCTAAAAAATATCAATACATGGTTACCTTACCTCCCACTTTATGAAATTAAAAAAAAGTTCTTTTGGAAAACGACTGTTTCCTGTCTACAGCGACCATAACTCACCTGAAAGAAAGATTATCCCTCCTGCCATCCCCACCAGCATAACGGTGAACACGAACCACAGCATGATCTTCTCCGACTCAAATAGCCCATTCTTCTGTTTGTCGGAGTGTAGTTCCTCGTACATGCTGGTGCGGCCGTAGGGGTGCCAGTCTGCCGCGTCCTGGTTGGGGAGACCCACCACCTTCTCCACGATGTCCGCTAGGTGGCTCTCCGACGCACCCCCCAAACCGTCGGATTCAAATGCTGGGTTGTCATAGCTGAGTGTAGAGTTCGCCTGTGACAAAGTATGATGACGTCATTATCTGCATGGGAATTTGAATTAATGGCCAACAGTTGATCTGTTGTTGTTTCAATATACGGGCTGATTAGCTAAGAAATTGTTTAACAGTAATAGAAGAGTGAGTGAGTTGGGTTTAACGCCACTTTTAACAGTATTCCAGTTATATCACGGCGTGTCAGCTTAATGTGGGAGGAAGGCCCGAAGTGATGCAGGTCTCAGACGTTTACCACTTCGGTGAAACCCACGAGCACGGGTATGGTGCTGACAAACCTAGAAACATAATCGGGGCGAACCTGGATTCGAACCCGCAATCATAGGTTTCTGGCGTCTCCCTAGACGACTGGGCCACCCGTGCCCCCAGTAATAAAAGAGTGTAACTACATCAACACAAGAGAATTGACAAGATACACAAACAGCCAATTAAGTCGGCTGCGACACTTAACACATGAGAGTTAATTAACACAACTTTCAAGTGAGTGAATAACCTCGGCTGGGTTTAACAGCGAGAAGTCTCTTGGGCAATAAAATAGACGGAAAACGCCCGAATAGAAAACTAGTGTTATAGACTTAAGACTCAGTCACTTTGACTGTGCAAGGGAATTCTAAACTTCCCCAAAATACAAGGTACTTGACCTAAGGAGTATCTAGACTCACAATGATTGAGAAAGGGTACGTGACCAATAGAGTTACTTGACTTCCAATAGTAAATAGGTATTTGACCTAAACTAGACAATCGTGGGAAAGTTGGTTATCCACGGATTGTTAGAAAAACGGGTACGATAAATAAAAACCGACCCATTGAGTTTTAGTTCTGTACCACCAGTGTACCAAAGAGAAAACTGCCCCACAACCACTTACTAACAAAACCTATGTTTCGACCTCACCAAACCAGTAGCACACGACCCGTAAACGGTCTAACGATACCTCTAGGTTAGGATACATGATTTTGACAGGGGTTATAAACGTGTGCGCGGACGTCGTAGAGAACAACCTGTCCAGGGCCCACTTGCACAAAGCGATCTTAGCGCTAAGACTACCGTAAGCCTATGTTAAAGTATGGGGGTTAAGATCATCATAGCGCTAAGATTGCTTTGTGCAAGTGGGCCCTGGTCAGCCGTGGGAATGCAATAACCTGGCGAGGTTACGCAAATCTGTTTCCTAACATAGGGAAAACCCGAATAGCACACTAAGTACTTAACCAATACGGAATATGTAAGTACCAAAATAAAGCGCTGAACATAAGCTATGCAACGGTACTGCAACCAAAGTGTATAATTATTGAGGTGATAAAAATGTACAATAATTATTAAACCGCTAGAGAATAAAACTGATGGGTCACTCATTCTCTAACAACGAACTTAAAAGTCACCGGAACACGGCGGCTGCCGGACATTGCCGAACCGTAACGACGCTGGGCAATTAAGAGAGAGGAAAGCGGTGCGGCCACTAGACCATGACTAGACTGGTTTTACGATCCAGTGACAATAGCAACACGAATGGTGAACATTACAAACGTTATCGATGTTATCAACACTTTACTAGGCGCAAAACAGTCGCCGAAACACTGCAAACTTGAGGTAAAAAAAACCCGAACTCTGAGACCGGATCAAATTATTCAAATACCTCACCTTCGAATAACCATTTCTTGTTTGTTTCCTTCATAATAACCATAAATCATGGGTGTATTTTTTCCTATGCCCGCAAGTTTATGTTTGTTTGTTAATTTGTTAAACGAAGCACTCAGCAATATTCCAGCCGTAGGACGGCGGTCTTGAAATTTTTGTGTGTCTGGACAAGACAAACCAGTGGTCGATACTGTGAGCAACGAAACTCACCGTCGAGGTACAATGGCCTGCTATCAACCAAGTCACCGCGGCCTGAACACCTGAACACTACGTTGCCTCTTACAACCAGGAAAGGTTACTTGGGACCAATTCCTTAACCCGAATCGTCACAGGGATCCATGTAGATTAACACGGAGGGAAGCGGCTGACTCTTTGAATCATGGCACACAACAAACAGCTTCGGCGACAATGAAAGACCCCTGATGAATACTGTTCATTCATGATTTCGTTTCGTGTTAGGATTTGAGTGAGTGAGTGTGTGAGTGAGTCGGATTTAACGCTGTTTTATGACATTATTGCATATATATCACGGCGTGTCAACTTAATGTGGGAGGTAACGCCGAAGTCTTGCATGTCTCAGACGTTTACCACTTTGATGAAGCCACAAGCAGGGGTATGGTGCTGACAAACCTAGAAAGTAAAACGGGGCGAATAATAAATTCGAACCCGCAATCATATGTTTCCGACAAGCCCAAGGGACGCAACTCTACACAGCGAATGGTTGTGCTTAAGACAACGAGGAAGCTGTGTTCCCTTTCTTCAGGTTAATCTTCCTGAGGCAACAGTGTCCACAGGCCTGTATTAAGGTATAGCTTCACTATTTTACGTTTCAGGCCCCATGGAGATCTGATTCGGTAGATATTCGAAATTAAATCATTTCCTGGCGTTTTGAATATTTCATTGCCCTAAAACACGTTTTGTCAAATTGTTCCTCTAAGGCCGCGTATTTGCAAAGAAACCAAGTTTGTTTTTTTCATTCTTCTGTATATCTGAGAAGGCATTAATTAACTTCCACAGAGCCATTGCTGTTCATACAAACTGTTTCCATGACAACGTATAAACAAAGATGTAAAAAACGGACACGATAGATATTCGCTTCACATGGTTTGCTAACATGTACAGTTAATATAAAACCAGAGAATAATCAATCTAGATTACAAACGCCCTAAATCCTCCCGTCCACCCCCTGACCCACCCTCTATACGACAAACGACGGATTATCCTCTAGTTTCCTGTATAATTGGTCTGCTGTAAAAGTCAAATATAGTAATATTAGTGAGATTAATTTTTCAGTGTAGCCTTCGTATATTTCTTATCCAGAAGAAAGAACGACAGGCAGATAACCATTATCTATCACAGCGTAAATTGATTCAGCAAATTACTCTCACGGGACACACCCGGAAATAATGACATGAAGAACAGCGATCGATTTACTGTATTGGGCCATACAGTCTGGTTTCATGTGATGATCCGCCCAGACATTTATTTGAAGAGTGACGAGAGGTCTGTACTCTCTGGTAATGCCGTCAGAAGACGTGTCAAACAATCGTCGAGTATGTTGGTACGAACTGCGTCACTAAAACACTGATAATGACGATGAACACGCAAAAGCCTTCAGCCTTCCTGCACGTTGTTGATTCAGTGATCGTACTTAATTAGCAGCACAGAAATGGCGTCGTGCCTCGTTAGCGAAAATCCAATTTTTCCTAGTATCAGTAAAGCGAAAACCCAAGTTGGGGTATTTGTCCTACGAAAGCGAGAAATGAGTAAATGCTATAAAAAACACCGGATTACCGTAGTTTGATTAGCGCCCGTGCTAATGTATTTGTTGGTATATATATAAAGAGTGCAACTTATTTATCTATGGTCAAAATGGCTAACGCACTAGTTCGAGTGACCATGGTTGATACCGTGCGAGGTGGTCAGCACTTGTTTTATGAGGGATTCAAGTTTCGTTGTAAGAAAACGGTCCGTGAGAAGAAGTATTGGAACTGCGTTGTTGCTGCCTGCAGAGCGTCGGTGATCACTGAAAACAGCATTCTTCAAGCGGCTTTGCAGGTGAAAAAATAATGCACATGATCATGATGATAATAATCTTAAAGACATAGACTCAAAAGACTTTGCTTAACAAACTATTCAGTTATTTATTTTACTTATTATTATTACTTATTTTTAGATACCACAGGTATTTGTCACATGTATGTATTTGTTTATTGTTAATATTAGTTAAAATGCAATTATTTAATTGCAGGTGAACCATACCCACCAACCTATCCCATATGAGATGGAAGTGGAATCTCTCAAGTCCAAGCTCATCCACCGTGCTAAGACTGAAACAACGCCGATTCCAACCATATACGGATATGAGATTTCCAGACGACCTGCTAAAGGAAATTCCTTCCTTTGCATCCCTGAAGACCATTCTGTACCGACAACGCCACAAGACCCTTCCCAAACTTCCTGCCACCCGACCTGAGATTCATCTTGAAGGACAGTGTACATTGACCGAAGCAGGAGAACACTTCCTTCATCGCATCGACAACGACATTCTCATCTTCACCACAAGCAAGAACATTGAGCACCTGTGTGCAGTGTTTGGTGACGGCACCTTCTCCTCGGCTCCACGACTGTTTGAGCAGATCTACACACTGCATGCTGAATTCCAAGGCCACATAGACTACACCACTAGTGGAAGTTTTCCAGTGCAATCCATGCAGTTCGAGGTTAATATATTTTAAGAACAATCTGCAAATATACTTTCATTTGTACGTCATTTCCACCCTCTGGGGATTACTTATTCGCGACCGTGAAAGGGTTGGAAATTTGCTAACTGAGGCGTTCATAATAGATTTTCTCACGCATGAACAATATGAACCATCTTTTAACGTCTTTTGGTATGACGCGGCCGGGGATCGAACCCCGGACCTTCCGCTCTTCGGGCGGACGCTCTACCACTAGACCACGGAGGCGGTCTTATTAGTGTAGGACTATCGTGTAAGACTGATTACAATAGTGTTGCTAGTGGGGTATAAAGGTGATGAAGCCCTACAGTAACTATAACCTTCCCTATTTATGAGGACTGGATGAAATATGGCCGCCACATTGCTTCACACAACCAGATTGGGTTATAAATGGCCCTATCAGAGATCAATATTCCGATCAACGTCATCAATTACTCTGACATGAACAACGGTTATTTAAGGAAAACAATCTGTCTTATAATCCAGTACGCACTTTTGACATTGATGTGTCTTGCAGGATCTAACAGGTCGGCCATAGTGCCTGTTCCTGAATTCAAACAGTGTCAACATTACATGATTTATCGAGTTTCAATTCTAGTGGATTAACCAACAGGTCGCTCTTTGGTCA